GAGGTGAGGTATGGGAGACTAGCAAGGTATAGGATGGGGAACGAAATGAGGGGGGGGGGAGATACTGGGGGGATGAGGAAGAGAGGAGATGCAGGGTATGTGGAGGGGAGGAGGAGACGTGGGAGCACGTCTTGGAGAGATGTACAGGGGATGAGGCAGAGGGGAAGGGGATCGGGGAAAAGATAAGGGAGATTTTAGACGAGGGAGGGGGAGGGGAGGTTTGGATAAAGAGGCTGGAGGGTAGGAGGAGAGAGAAAGAGGAGGAAAGGGGGGAAGGGGGGCGTGAAGGAGGGAGGTAAAAGGAAGGAAGGAGCGAAAGAAGGAATGGAGTGAAAGAGTGGAAATGGAAGTCGAAGGCGGGGAGGGCGAGCGGAAGTAGTGGAGTAGGGGAGAATTAAGGAGGGAGAGAGAGAGAGAGCGAGTAGGCTAAGAGTAGCGTAAGAGTAGGCTAGTAGGATAAGTAGGCTAAGTAGGCCAAGTAGGCTAAGAGCGAGCGGGACGAGAGAAAGGGGGAGAAGCGTGCGGAGCGGTAGTGTAAGAGTAGGATAAGTTACGTTAAGGAAGGTTTGTAGAGAAGAGTGCAAGATAAGGAGTGCTTGTAACGCTAAGGGGAAGCAATAAAATGATACTACTACTACTACTTATTTCTCTTTATTTTTGAATACAAGGGGATTCATATTCGTAAATAAATAAATAAAAGTAACAGTTCTGAAATCAGTGGAAATTTTTTTTTATCATATCGATTTGTTCGTAAGATTTTTTCTTTTATTTTTAGTTTTGTATTTAATTAGTGGAATGGAGTATTAGCAATAACCTCTTTTATTTGAACCACCCCTTGTATTTAAGTGCTTATAAATTATTAACGACAACAGATATAAAAAAATAATTGAATTAAAAATTATACCGTTTCTGGAGATTTCTAAGTCCATGCGAAATATGTACTGAACTCTCACTGAGAGATTCGTTCTTTTGTTCAGCACTCCGCCCAGCATATTCAAGCAAACAAAAGAGGATTACAAGAATTCTAATCCTTTCCAGCACTGTGTCTTTTTAGAAAATGTTTGTTTATTTCTTCGTAAGCTCCTCTACCTTTTGTATCATTTCTTTGAGTTTCTCCCATTTATTATTTCCTTTTATACACAGAGGGATAGAACCACGACAGTCGAAACATAATATACGTTTTCTTTTCGTATCCCAAGAAATAATAATCGATTCTACTTTTATTATTAATGTTCAAGCTGATGTAAAGAATTCGATTTAGACGAATTAGTACAAAACTATATTTGCGGTAAAGTTAAACAGAAATTGATAAATGGACGAAAAAGTGAGCGATGATCACCGATTTACAAGTCACTTTTAACACGTGCGTTTCTAGCGAACGAAAGCAGTTTTGTTTGAAAAACACTAACTTGTCCCTTTCAAGGACTTCATAAACCGCACAGGAAAAATTGTAAAAGAACAACGGAACAAGATATGGACTTTGACCAAAAGATCAAAGATACACAACCTCGTAAAAGATTTAATGGAAAAGAAAAAGCCGTAACATCCCGACTGAGGACAGGACAAACCAAAGTCCTGATCCATAGAACTGAACTAATATAAAATTTAATTTTTAAATGCAATTTAAATATTATTTTTTAATTACATACAATACAATTTACACTTAATATCGACTAAAAATTTTAATTGAAATTTTAAATAATCTATATAAATATATATATACATATATATATATATTAATTTATTCATTTTAAATAATGTATAAATCATTCTATAATTATTCTAATTATTTTATTATAGGTAAAATGAAAATAATATCAATATCAAAAATTTTTTAAATTAATTGATAAAGGTAATCGTAATTTTATTAGTCTATCAAATCCACATTCAACGAGTAAAAATTTTTCTCGGTCTTCTTAAAAAATGATTGATAAAAAAAACTTTAATTCAATAAAATTTAATAAACCCTATTGCAACTACTGCGATATCGAGCTCCTAACAGTTAACCATTTACTATACGAGTGCAATGAAACTGATCAAATAAGAAATAAATACGACATAAAACCTGGCGCAGCTCTAACGGATCAAAAAGGGAATAGAAAACACCTTTGAGTACCTGAAGGAAATAACCATCTTTGACAAAATATAATTAACAAGAAATCCGTCAAGAAAAAGAAGAAAAAAAAAGCTATCAAAATTGTAAGATGATGGCTGTGACATCTGAGAGGGAAGATCGATAATAACGTAAACGAAATAAAGAGTGACCATTACTTTTATTCAAGAGTTACGTATTTATTTATTTATTAGGTAAGTACCCTCGCAAAATGTGCTTCTCCTCGGTGCAGAAACGAAACAACGTAACGGGGATTAAACGTTAAAAGTTTCCAGTCTCGATCTTAGAACCGGGAACGACGTACACAATAGTTATGCACGTCGCAGATAATGCCGACTATTCTCGTTTATTTATACGCTCACGCATACGGGGACACGCGGTGTGGAGAGAAACACACACCGGAGATGAAGATATCTGTACAGACACCACGTGATTGCACGTCGCTTCGCGCCTTGCATCCGAAGTTCGCAGCTGCACTAAACGGATTTTTCGCAACGAGAATCGTCTATTGCTTACTCTCCAAACCTCGGAATCGAACATCTTTCTCTGGCTAAATTATAATTTTTTTCCTTATTTTTTAACTATATGTTCGGCGTTGCACCTACTACAGCCAGGTTGTAATTATTGACGATGGTTAATAGATCATCGAGCAATAAATATTTTTTAACCGACGAAATTCAAACAAATCCTACTCCATAGAATGTCGCTAAGATATTGTAAACGTTTTTCTTCATTTCAGAGTAGTTGGAGGGTCGAATGAACTCACTTTTCTATCCATTTATCAATTAATTCGTTTAAAATCGAATAACCACCAAAATCTGAAAATTTTGTGTATCGAATTCTTTTTCATCAGTCTGAACATTAATTGTAAAAATAGAGTCGATTTCTATTTAATGGAGCAAGGTTTGATTTTGAATTAATTTTATGGATTTTGCGTTTGATTAGCTTAAAGAATTGTATTATCTTTCTTTCCATAAGGTATTTGATTCTATACAAGTCTATTTCTCGTACTTGAGCATTCACATATTACCTTCATTTTTCTCACAAACATTCTCTCAATATGGTCAGACTGCATCAAACTGTGCAAACGATTACTAACACTACCTGCAATAAATGAATAAATAATTCATTTATTATTTACTTATTTATTCGTTAACTATATGTATATTTATTCATTATTCATTAACGCAATAAATGAATTATTTATTTATTTATTGCAGGTAGTATTAATAGTTTTACCCAATTTTAATAAATTATTTAGAGTAACGCAATTATTTGTTATTTATTATTTATCAGTTGCTCAGTTTCATTGCACCTTTTTATTTGGAGTTTACTAGTTATTTCATGGAAAAAGTATATGAACAATAAATTTCTGTTATATTTACTTCAGTTAATTTCAATTAAATTATTCCTAATGATTTGAATATTTTACTCGTCGAATACAAAATTAAACACTTAAACAGAAACTGGAAAGTCAATAATTATTTACCACTTTTGTTTCTTCCAAACGTAAATAAAGAAATAACATTTTAATTATTTGTACTGACATTTAAATATACATTGTTTGGATAGAAATTTTACTCGTTATTTCTTATGTATTATATGTATAAACACGAAATTTTCCACGTCTTACATTTTATGCTTTCGACATTAATTCACTATCCATTCTAAATACCCTCACTTTCCAATTTTCTCAACTTATCTTTTCTTTTCTTCGTACATTGAAAAAGACCAAAATCAAGAATAGAAATATTGATATTAAATAAATTATGCCTGTTCGATTTTTATTTATTTTCGAATAAAAATTCGTCCCATCTTGAAACAGACCACAAAATGCGACGTGACAAATGATTTGGCAATTCAGTTAGTCCGCAAACGAACGTTATTCAACGGATTCTTTTATTTTTACGAACTTTATCCCTGAAATCGCTACGATCACGTACAACGCGATATTGTTTACCGGGACGTGTTTTATTTCCCTCGATTTCAGAACAACTCGCAAAAGTGGTCCGCTTTGAGGGAAAAGTACCACCGCGGTAAAACTTTACCAACTGTTAAACCGTGTAAATCGATAGCATGCTTTTTTTAAATTCCGATGAACGGAGATGACGATGCACGAGCGTAGTTAGAAATCGGACCGCGACAACGCCATTGCAAAAAGAACGCAACGTTTCTATCAAGATCTAACATTTTCATAATCATTGTAGTGCAATTTTTCAGTTGCATTCATTTTATGCAATTTATACACAGAACAGCTAAGCATCGAGTTTACAGTAATTTTTACAGAAAAATTAAAAATTAATTTTTAAGTCTAACAATAACATAAGACAATATTATTAATAATAAAAAAAAGTACTATCGAATCGATCCACGTACCTCAAGGCCACGTTATTTCGTCAACGACGACGTAAAAACCTTTTACGAAATAATAAGAATAATAAAAAGAAAAAAAAGGAATGAAAATATATGAAAATGGAATGGTTAAAAATTGTTAGAACCTGTTCCCTGTATCCTGTTGCTATTTTTTTTGTGACGCCACGAATATTCCCTATTCGTCGTATTCTGCGCCGAAAAATCGAAAACGACTCGCTGGCGCCTTTCTCTCCGTCGTTCTCTCTCTATTTTATCATCTCACTCGCGGCCACGACGACGTTTCGACGGTGACTAGAGACACAAATCGCCGAATCTCGTATAGTGGTCTCTCGACCTGTCGCACGCTCGCACGCGCGAACAAAAATAGCAAATTCCTTCGCGTTGGATTGTTTGGTAACGAATAATTCTCGATCGACAGTCGATCGTTAAAGAGAATTAAAATTTAGGAATCGTAACAACTCAAAAATTGCTATAACCGATTAACGTTGTAGCGAAAAAGTTAGGTTACTGGTATACGAAATTAATTAAACGTAAATTTACATTAACACGATGAGCTCCAAAATTATAAGATAATATTTAATGAATTTTTTATATTCGTTACTTAGTTTTGTTCGTTTGGTCTTAATCGTTTGTGGAAACATTTGTTGTAAACAAGCAAGCATTAACTAAATTTTTCTATCATTGGAAAATTTTTAATCACATAAATTAACTACTATTAGCTTTACTATGATGAAAACATATTTTTCAAGCGAAAACAAATGTCCAAGAGCATTTTTTCTAACTCCTTGCTATATTCAACGCCTGATAAATTTTCTTTAGACATTTCCAGACAAGTAACAATGACGAAACGCAAGATCAGTATGCACAGGAACATAATCTATAACCTCGTACACGATTCGTTGTTCGATTCTGAAATTTTCGTCGAAAATAAAACGCTGAATTTTTGTTGAATTCGAGATTGACGTGCGTGCTACACATATCTGCGAATAAACATCAGCCAGGTCGTTGAATTTCGATGAACAATCGCGAAACGTTGACAATCGACGCACCGAAGTAACCTTTGTCGCGCGGTCCCATTTTAGAAAATTACAGGGCCGTTAATTGCAAAACATGGTACGCCGAACAAATGATAAAACATTCTGGAAAAATCGGTAGCACCCGATCAACAAATTATACCATGAAAACATTCACATTGCATTTCAATAATGTCAATTTCTTTTTATTTCACTCTGTTTTTATCCAAATTTGTTTTCTAAATAAACTACATTCATAATAATGCATTTTCTGTCTGTGTATACCAGTTTATGTTTACTATTCCTAACAAAAAAAATTGTTGTACTTTTTCTCGTAAAATATGTATAATACAAAACGCAATGTCTTGTAACTTTCAACGATCGAATTTAGTAAGACAACTCCAAAAAGTTTAGATTTACTAATCACAGAACCAAACGTACCCCGTTCATGTACTCCCACCATTTTGAAAAACTGTAATCTTAAAATTTAGTGTTCTATAACTTACTGTATAATTTAAGTATCGTACAATCAGAAATAAATCTTATACGAGGTTTCAAATGCTCAGTAAAAAAAAAAAAACTTTCGATAAAAAATTGGTGATAAACCGAAGTCACTAAATTTTATTTAATCGCAGAAAATAAAGGAATGTTTATTCGTTCTGTCGAATGTCACTCGAGTCGACCGTTATTTACAATATCGAAGATGCATCGATTACGTCGAAAATAACAATTAACTCGGTTATTTTCAATCGACTATATTAATGCGTAATTTTCATTATCAAGAACATTAGACGCGATCATTCATAACCTAACCAAAGGTCGAAACGTGGACTAACTTTTGATCTACATTCTTACGCGTTCCCGATAGCGTATAAATAAATACGATTCGTCTGAACCATAACGATCCGTCGATACACATGGATTTCATTACACGAATCATTTTAACCTTCGTTCCGGAGCGTCGTAGCCATCGCGTGTAGACAATACGTAAGGTCGAGGCGGGAATACGAGAGACGAAAGGCGCGCTAACAACGAACGCGAGGTACACAGTTTCCCGCGACCAAAATTCTTTCCTGAAAAGATAAGACGCACCAAGGAAGAGAAAAGAGAAAAAAAAACGAGGGAAAACTCACCTTCCATCCGGCGCTACTGTTGCTCTCCCCCTTCTCTCTGAAAAACGGAATATTCTGCATCATCCATTCATAGATCTGAGACAGAGTCAACCGTTCGTCGGGAGCGCTGGTAATCGCTTGAGTGATTAGATCCGCATAACTATGATTTCCCCAGGCGTTTCTTCGCGAGGAATTCTTTTTGACCGGAAGCAGGCTGGTACCTTGGCCGAGAGAGCCGTGTCGCGGCGGCGTGCTACTTTCGCCGCCTTCGACACCCTCTTTGCTGGCCGACACGTTCGCCACCACGTTCCCATCGATGTATCCCTCGGATCTTGGCAACGGCCACGTGTGCGATCGCGCTCTCGTCTGCGGTTCGAATCCACTCTCAAGGTCGTACGGTACCCCCTGCTGTGGTTGCAACCCGGACTGCGAACCCGATGCTGAAACCGACACCGGGTCCATCATGCTAGACTCGTCCGTGAATTCCACTTTGATCGCGCTAGCACCTCGAAAGGTGCTGGTCCCCGACAGATATCGCGCTATCTGGCAACTAAAATCGAGAAATGTCGATAACGCGGCGAGATCGTCACTCCAACCGCTCAACAACACTGGGACAACGTTAACGAAACCGAAACCGAAGTCACTTTTTCCAACGACTCTACCGAGAGTGTGTGTGTGTGTTTACAACGCGCAACGACTAAACTCGAACAGCGTGCGTACGTTGTACCGAGAACTCGTGAAAAACTCGCCTCGAATCGCGACGAAAAGTATCGCCGGATCGCCCGAATCGAACTCTCCCGCAACTGGCAGCGGACCGACCGAGAATACACTGTACGTTGTTCTCCGTGTCGCGAACGAACGAGAGAGAAAGACGGTAGCAGAAAGAGCACGAGAGAGAAACACAGAGAAGGCGGTGGAGGGGGCAGACCACGTGGTCAAACTCTCTGTTTACAAGCCGCGCCGTTGGTCACGTGGCCATGTTTTGATAGAGAACTTGGCCCACTGCGAGGAGGAGAGGATCTTCGACTTCGTTATCTCGCGCGTCGGATCGTACGCGACTTTCGGACAAGTTTTCGAGTATCGTGCCGCCGCGGAATCGTATCGCCTCGTCGCTTTCCGTCGTTCGAAATCTGTCGATAAAATTCTAACGATCGAATCGACGACTTTCGATATCCTCCCGTCTCGTCCAAGTCCGTTTCTCCTACAATTTTTCATCGATGTTCCCTGACACCACTCTCCACCTGGCGTCTTCCAGGATTTAAAGTAGATCAAGACGATCCACCACCGACGAACACACCCGGACTTTTAAGTGCCCACTGATATAACGCGATCCGGCCAACGTCGAGCATACCCACACGTAACGACTACACTTCGAACGTATTCTCCGTATCAGACACGCGCACTCGTGATTACTACGGGAATCAAAATCACCTCTCTATTGTATACAACTTGCCGGCAAGGCTGCGCGGCGAATACTGACGAATTCTTTTGGTCGAGAGCCGGAACTGACCGAGCGAAGCCGAAGTTACGAGAAGTGAATTCGTGGCGCCTGCCTCCGCGCGTTTCGAGAGCGACGAGGATAAGATCGCGAACGTCGAAACGTGTCGGAGCAAGAAGGATCGTGTTGGCGCGACCGAAAGAGAGAGAGAGACTGACCGACCGCGATCGAGAGAGAGTGATAGAGTGCGAAGGTGGGAGGGAGGGAAAAAGAGGGAAATCGCGAGCCAAGCGAACGGAGCTATCTGGGTGGGTGGTTCGGTGTCGTGGAGGGGGCACCGCGCGAAAGTGGGGGTAAGCCAGTCAGAGTTGGAGCGAAGGAGAAAGCGCTCGGACAAGCGAGAGAGACGCGTGGTAAAGAGGTTAGCGGAACGATAGAGGGAGAAGGAGGCAATGGTCTGGAATGAGCCGTTCGAAGAAAAGAGGGACAGAGACAAGCCGTTCGGGGGAGGGAATCAGAGAGGACAGTGTGGTCGGTTAAATCGAAAGGATGGGCGGGGAAAGGGGTATGTTATGCCCCCAGGGCCAGGCACTGTTCTCCGTGCAAAGACCAAGAGAGGGAATTCGCACGCGGCCACCTACCCCTATCGATGGCCGTTCAATTCTCTCTACGACTGTTTAAATAATTTTGTTACGCATAATATTTGGACCGGTTTGAATATTATTTGAGCGTCGAGAAGCGGTCAGGACTCTCGGAAGACATAACAGTTCGAACGAGTTTCAAAGACTTGAAAAACTTGAAATATGACAATTTCTGCGGTACACTCGAAAGCGGAGGAATACGCAATTGCGTGGCCGATATTAAAATCGTTTGCAAGTTTCTTTATAAGGCAAGAGTAATCAAAATAGGCAACTTTTTTTCGTCTATTATTAAGTAATAATATTTTTTTTTTTCGTGTTGCCTAAACCAGTTCCGTTCTTATCGAGCGCAACTGCTGCTTCGAAATAATAAATTCAGACTGATTCCAAGTTCCAACTAATTCCAAAAGCAAACAATCGTCATTGTTTATTAATCGTTTACGATAACTTTCTAACGTAGAGCAAAGTATTCGAGATTATCTCTTAGAATTAATCGTCGTTTTTTTCTCAGCGTCTCTTCTATGTTTTTTTTCCCCCCCATAATTTTCATTGTTCTTGAACATGTTATTAATAACTTTAACGCATCTATTGATTTTTTTATAATTCCTAGGCCTGAAACCTCTTCAGCTTCGTTTCAACGTTTCAGGACTTCTAAGACTTTCGAAACTTTCAGTACCTTGAAAGCAATTCCGATATCATTGAATTCGAATAATGTTAGCGAGTGAAATTTCTCATTAACGAACGAGCGTCGAAGCTAGTAAATATGTAGCTACGATATAGTCTTGAGCCACACTCGTCCCGGCAAACCCTCCGCGAAATGAATTCTACGCACGATCTTTCGCGGTTATGCAGATTTAAAAGGTATCGTTGAATAAATCGAAACGAACAGCTAGCGAAAAGTTTTCGTTAATCTCTCGCGATAATTTGATTAACGAAACGCATAAATTCGGAACCGATGGTCGGAATATTTCGCTAGAAAAACGATATTCGTAATTCATTCTCCTCTGATCGATGAACTTTACACGACGAATATAAAAATTTTGTATTTCGTTTTATTTACGGAATTATAATGTGCTTTATTGTGTTTATACTTGGGTGTGATAAAATTCACGTATTCGTACGTTTTACCTGTTTCGGTAATCCGAACAACTATAAATACATATAGAAAGAAACTTTACTCTTGTCGCTTTAACTGTACTCGGGTTGTTATTCCGGATGATTAACTTTCATTGCAATTTAAATTGTTATTAAAATATTCGTGGTTGTTTTATACATATACATATTAGCCAGCATTTTCTTCCCAAAGTATATTAACAAACAAAAAAGAAGGAAGATAAATTTTGTTACTTTTTATAACCAACTTAATAGTGCATGTCAATGTTTTATATTTACAATAATTTTCGAGAAACGAAACTAACTTTAATTCATTTAAATTGTATATCACATATTTCTCTATAATACTAGTTAATACAATTGTACAAAATCACTTGAAAAGAAACAGAAATATCCTGGATATTCACGTTAAAACGAACCCTCCATATTAACATTCCAAGTACGTGTTCTAAAAATCAATGATTACTAAATTTTTCAATTAAAAAAATCTCAAAATCCTCAACTCCCTGAACACCAAAAAAGGACAATAACAAATACACTGAGCAAAACAATAAGAAACAACATCTTGCAACGGCCACGTTTTCATAAGAAAATGAGCTTTCGGTTTAAAAATGTAGTTTTTCAGTTCAGAATCTTCCAAGAAAGGAATTAGTACGTCTTTTACGTTTCTGCACCCCAGCAAAATGGCGCCCACGCATCACACTTCCACAAAATTTCTGTCCATATAAACGTCTTTCTATTTGTTTCCATCATGAAAATAATATTTAAAATCTTTTGTTTCGTCCCGATTGAACATTTTCTCGTCAGAAAATATCACGTTCCTTCTTTAACCGTGTCTGGTTAGGTTTTAATAATGAAGTTAGTTCGAAGGTCCCTAAAAAACATTCGAATGATACTTAAAACTATAATTTTCTCGGTTCTTCAATCGCTGGTGTTCCACAAAAAGAAGCTCTAACGTTTGAGAGTCATTACGTACTTTCGTTGAGAAATTTTATCGTGTGAAATTGCACATGCGGGGAAAATTAAAGAGGGGGAAAAAGCTACTGGTAACCCTTATTCATTAGATTTACGCGAAAAGAGTAAGGTTAAGCTCGTACTATCAATTACGTCATCCCCATTCCAAAGGTTGCGTTGTACCAAATCGAATCAAGACGTTCGAGGCAAAGTTTATAACGTTAACGATCGATGAACTCGGTTTGAAATATATTTGTAACGCCGATTAGAAGATTAACGAACTATATGTATACATAGTATACAACTGGTCATAAAAATATTCCGACGCGAATATGATTCTTCTTATTATGCTTTAGAGTCAGTGGCGGATTTAAAACTCAGTGGAGGGGATTGATAAAAGTACAAGAAAAAAATGTAAGATTTTCGGGATTTAAGAGTACCATCCCTGGAAATGATAAATAAAAGTAAAAAAGTTAAAAAGATAATAAAAGAAAGTACATATGACTTCGCAAAGAGTTATATAAATGTATGGACTGAAAAAAGATTTACGTTTCATTAGAAAGCGATTCGAAGTTTAAAGCCTTAACATGCAAGAATTACTATTATATCACTATACTATAAACACCTTACAATCACGTCTCGTAATCGTATCGAGAACTTTTGCGATAGAGTGAACCAAAACATTAGGAAACCTATCGATTTAAAAGAAGAGTTTAAAGATTGTTTTACCGAAAAATAATAGCGTATTGGCGTTGATTATTTAAAAAAAAAAAAAATGATTTCCAACATTGCCGATAGCCTTGCGCAATAAAATACTAACGTACGATTGAAAATTGTAATTTTAACTTTATAAACATATCAAGCAAACATGATAATAATACATAAAAATTTTGTACAGTTTTGTTAATTAAAAACTGTATTATAATGTAATGTAGAATGTTTTTTTTTATTATATATTTACTTCAAATACAAAGCATAAACAGTAAATCTATTAAATGTAATCAAACACATTTCAATTGATGAATTATGGTTTTGTACAATCAATAAATACTTATATGATTTTTTATAGGAAACATGACATATTTTACAATTCAAATTATTGTTCTCAATGTTCTGTGAAGTAATGTGTGCAATTATGCAAAGCTATTTGTAATTATTGTTAAGAATGCTTAAACAAAAGTCAATTCTGGGTATTTGATAATAATTATTTTAAGAAGTAAGTTATTTTTAACTAAAAAAAAATTGTTAAGTTCATGTACATTATATTATGTATTGTATACAGAAATTGTTTCACAATCAAAGCGATGATTAATGAACTAATATACGTTCAGGAGGTATTAATATCAGCCCCTAAATTAAACCTATAATTATAGAATCAAAGTCATTTTAAAAATGGAACAGCAATCTTCTATACCTTATACTTTGTGAAACCATTTCTACTATTAATAATATACTAATTGTGAATAAATCTTCTACAATTGAATTTTTATTTTTTCGTACAATTTTCATATAACCAAAAAGAACTACATAATGTCCTTTTCTTTATTAACAACAGCTAAACTTCTTTCAGGCTTATGTGCTCTGTTAGTGAATACAAAAATATGTATTTAATTACATTTATGAATAATTTTAAACATTTTTAAACCCATTAAGAAGTTCTAACTGTGATACAGAGCTTCATGAAATTTGTTTCTAAATTTTGTATCAAAATAATCCTGTGTTTCTACATATTTTTTATCTAATTGACTAATGATTAAACATTCTTTCACTCATTAATTTTATTTGGTCTGTACAACCACTTTTTAAAATGTCTGCCACTAATAAATATATACCCCGTGTACTATATCAATCTTACACACAGGCGTGTTTTATTCATTAACAATTGACTATTGATAATATATCAATTGGTATGTATAATAGTAATTGGTATGTAAGTTCGAATTAATCGGTCATTATCTAATCAAAGTCTCTTATTATGAATATCTTTTATTACGAAACCAAGGGTATTTAAATGATTTCTAATATCTTAAAAAGAATGAAAAACTTTTATGCGTCACTTGAGCTTTTCATTCTTCTACTGATTTCTGAAACGTTCTCTGCTTGACGTAATGAATGAGATCAATGTATAAAATACAGTGACTTATAGTTGCCTCGCCCTGCATATAAAAAATCTTACTAATTGTAAGATGAGTTTTTGTGACGTTTTGTAAATATACAGTGAGTTAAATTGCATAATTTATAAAATTTCAACAAATCATAACAAATTAGTTGCCAAATTAAAATAATGTGTATCATTAAACAGTTACGAATCATAACATTTTTCACAGTTTTATACATATAGAACCAGGGTAATTCATTACTGCATTATTACACACTATTATTGCATTACTAATCACATCACTTGACAGCTGACAGGACATAATACAATAATATGCAGATAATAAAACCTGCAAATACATTAAAACAAAGTTGCAACAGATTAAAAGACAATAATATAAATAATCATTCAACCTAAGCAATGACTTTTCTTTCTCATAAGTAATTATCGATTTTCGATATACAATCCACGAAACTTTCCTGCACGTTGCTTTAGGTTCTCGAATTTAAACCCCGAATAAAATCAAATGGACACTTCGATGCAACAAGTTTGACGAATAACTAGTAATTTATTTTAACAACAGTCGATCAGTAGCCAACGGAGCTCAAATTTATCGATTATCGACAATGTAGAAATCTTTTTTTAACGACTGTTGATAATAACGATTTCATTTATCATCACAGACCTTTATGGACTTTCGTGGCTTCACAGACCACAGACGAGGTCTGACTGCCATACCGACCTGAAAATTCGGAGGTGTTTAGCGCCCTCTTCTCATGGATGGCGGTCAGTTGAGAAATTATTCACTGAATTAGTATTTGTGGGAGGCAGCTGTAGCATGTGCGTAAATGCATGTGAGTTGACTATGGAAGGGATTAAAAAGCGCAATTTTCAAATGACCATAATTCCTACAATAATGAATATATTTCAATGAAACTTTTTTCTGAAGTAGAGCTCATGGGGGCCTACAAAAAAGTACTAAACAACTTTTCTATAAGGCATCAAACAAAATTACTAAAAATCAAAAACGAATTTTTAAGAAAAATCGACAGGGGGTAGGTGCTTAAATTATTGGGCGAAATTGAAAAGTTTCAAATCACTTTGGAGAAATTATTTTCAATTGCAAGGGTCAATTGCAATCATTTTTTATGAGTACATATACACCCGAAATCCTTCTTGCACTTTCGAGAAAAAAATTTTTTATAAAATCGGTAGGTGGGCAAATTTTTCGGCGGAATTAAAAAATTTAAAATCATTTTGGATCAATTATTTTTGGTTGTGGGTCACCCGTGTTGATTTGAAACTTTCATCCTGCATCATGGTTGGGGACCAGAGGAATAAAAATAACATGCGACTCACCAATGATGAAGTTGTACCTCTGCGATGGCTGCATGACGACGATGCTGCTCAGTGGAAGAGATCAAGGAAGTCATCTATTAGTCAGCATAATCCTACCTGTTTTCACGATGTAGGAATCAGGTCCAGAGACTGTAAGAAGACTGCAAGACAATACTTATTAAGCAATTATAACAATCTATTGTTAAAATTACTGAGATTTTTTAAAATATTTGTATAAGTATAAATTTATACTTACATTTTTAGCTCGTGGAGCATCACCCTCTTTAGTGATGCACTGACTCTAGTACCGATAACGAGAAATTTTAATTTCAGAGGGAAAAAATTAATCGAGTTTATTAGGAGGTATGGAGCTAGATTACTGTAACCGAAGATTCAAATTGACGAACAAATGGCTCTATTGTCGCGATTCAGAAAACAAGGAGAGCCAAGATGCTCTGGAAATAATTTAAAGTTTCGTAGGAAACACTGATTCTATTCTCGCGTTTGCTTAACACAGTAAGCGACGACTTACTTTGGGATCAATTTGCACCGGAAAACAAATTGTTGTTACGCACAATCACTGAAGCTACCGGACGCTGTGCACGCGGCTAACAAATTTTCTGGAAAGAAAATTGTTCGTTTAGTAATTGACAATAGAAATACTGCTATTTCTTTAGAATAATAAATCTAGTTCCTTCTCATTGAATTAGATCAGATATGTAAAAGTTAAATTTTCTCAACAATCATAAATTTGAATGATAGAATATTATTAATGAAGGCAATTATAAAATAATTGCTCGATTTAAAAATATTATATGTATACCAGTCTTTTGTTGATAGAGTTGGAAGCGTAATGGTATTAACTGAATTAAATTTTAATATTGTATATTTTTATAAACGTTCTGAAACATACAAAAATTAATGTTTGTTAGTTACTTGTCTCTGAATGACATATAATAATTACACAGCTTCTATGTTCTATTCAACTTAAATAGAAAACTGCACGCAAATGCAGTTGCAACAATTCATAGTAAGTAAAAATACAACAAATATTTGACATCTAGAAATATACTATAATCGCGATCAAAATGCAATGAAATACGTTAATTAATTCCCATTTAATTTGCCGCCGAATCGAGATCGATTATAAAGCAAATTAAAAAATTATTTATTATTTAATGTCAACACTGATATATTATGCTTCCGACAAATAATAATTCGATAAAATAATAAAAATATATAAAAAATGTATAAATGTTATTTATTATAATAATATATGTATATTACATTTTACCACTATGTACCTATTGGACCATTCGAAATTGACGTGATTTGAATGTTTTCAGCTATAATGGCGTCGATTCCGTACCGATAGTTTGCCTTGATTTCGAATTTCAATCAGAGACTGTAACAGAAATAAAATACAAATTAAAATGAAATGCATTACACTAAACATATCTAATCATAATAAAACAATAATTGATGTAAGTACGAAGATACGTAATATCGTTTAGGAAGATATAATGAATCGACACCGGTTAGATATCGAGAAAAACGTCCGAAACCCAATTTAGTTTTTGCCACAATTCCAACTTAATTTATAGTAGAAATATTAATTTTAAAAGAAAGTATCCTTAGAATGTACATAAACGCGTGTAGTAATAATGATAAAATATCAACAAATTAGAAATACGTATCTCGTTGGTAGCAAAACGCCGACAGATCTCGACACGTCTTATCACGCCAATTTTTACATTAGTAATGCCCCCCCCTCCCCGTTGTACCCAGCAGCGCTCGCGAATTTGGTGGTGGGTGAAGGGAGCCACCAATGTTTCTCGTAGCTTGCATTTCGAGAAGAAATTCCTTGACTTCGAATTTCAGAGACTGTAACAGAAATAAAATACAAATTAAAAGCAAATGCATTACAGTAAACAGCTGCGTGCGCGTGATAGTGGTTCTCACTCACAAAACTATAAGACTGTTGATATGTCAATAAGAAGAGTTTCTCATGCTGAATAAGAACCACTAACATGCGCACGCAGCTGTTCGCAGATTGCCGGTCTACAGGCGGAACATTAAACGTTAATAACTTTTTAACCAAGCCTCAATCAACAAATTGGTATTCTTGATTTTCGTCTTATTTTGGTCTTTAGAATCTGCCATTAAAATTTTTCCCAGAGGTAGCCGACCACCCTGTATAATAGATATCAACTGTGTTTGCAATTTTCATATTATAAATTAGCGTTGCGATGTTGATTTATCGTGCGATTTTTTATTTACGAACGCGAAAACAAAGCGCGGGAACACGAGAAGAAAATTCACTAGATCGAACAACAAAAAGAAAGTGTGAACACGGGTAAGAATCAGGTGCATTATACGTATATCTCGTTTGTATCTACATATACGTTTGTGGTATAGCTACAATTTATTGTTATAAAATTCGCATACAACGTAATGCCCTCTATAGATGTCACTTCTGCAAGTACCGCCAAAACTTAGGAAAAGCGTCTGCTGCTCTTCGCTGACATTCTTGTAATATTCTAAAGAAAGAAATTCGTCATTCTGCAAGAAGATTCAATATAATTCAAAATAATTTATAATAGTTGTTAACTTCTATTTTTAAGTGTGAGAAATGCGTAGTACGATATTTTATTAAAACAAAAATTTTCCCTTAAATGATTTGATCATTGTATCCAATAGCATTGTACTGATGGATTTGTCTTTAACTTTTAATTGCAATGGAAAGGTGAACTTTAACGATTGGGAATTAAGTAAGGAGAGTTTATTTCTGCGTGGAGAAGTAGATAATGTTCTTTATCCACAAGATGACTATCCATTGTCTGATATGGATGTACAACTTTTCAATTGTACTATACCTGCCACAACAGTTATATTAGAGTTAAAACATTTTATCAAATGCATGGTGTAAGAAGCTTTTTTAGTATGAATATTCAAGTAGTTTTTTACAACATTAATATCTCTAATAGCTCTTCATTTACTTCTTTTTAAAGCATGCAGTTAAAAATACTCAACAGATATAAAAATTGTAATCAGATTTTGAATTCCAAAACTGATGACATTGATTTCTACAATATCAGACATATTGTATGTAAATTTATTTTATACATTCGAATATATTTAAACAGGTAAAACAATTTCTTATCTAAATCTATCTTCTTTGAATGATACATATTTATCATCATACAAATCTTACAGTATTAAGTGGGACATTCAATCTCTGCAAGTTATAAATGAAAATATCGAAGAAGAATTTAATTCATTATTTATTACCGTAAAACATTTTCTTAGCGAATTACGAAGTATTCCAGATGCAACGTTTTACTACGCACCTTCTAAATTAGGCAATCAAGTTTGTAGAAAAAAGTATATACACTAATATAATGCTACTTATAGATTTAATATGACTTTTATATGTTACAGTGTAAACAACCAGAATATCATATGTATCATATGCATATAGAATTACGATGGCTTTTTATTTCATTAGTCTATACACGCAGTTTATATTATCAGCATTCAATCGAAAGTCAGTTAAATGAACTTGAAAGCAATCAGCAAATAATCATTAATGATCTTATTTATATTTCATTGAAGATATTTGAAACAGTAAGAGAATGAATATTTATCTCATTATACAAAATTTAATGAATTATTTGTGTTTTTTTGCTATACACTGTGTGTAATATGTTTTAGATGCCTTTAGTAAACATACAACAGAAAACCCCATATAATTGTACTTGCATTCGTGAATTATGGCTCATGCTTCAAGTATTTATTGATAACTTATCTGAAAGGATACAATCAAAGGTACTATGCTAGATATTTATGATCTATATGTATTTTAATATACTGTAAACATTTACATGCACACAGACATTTTGGGATTACGTAAATGACAGTGTTAATGAACTATTAAGCAGGAATGTATCTGACACTAGAAAAAGCTATAACTTAGCACCCTGTAAAAATTCTGAATTATTCTGCCTTTGGATTATTTACAATCTTTCACTTTTATATGGGTACAGTGTGGATGGTACATATTTAGGATCTAAGTGTTCAAGGGTAATTACGCTACATTATTTTTCCCCTTATTGTTTAAATTAATATTAATAAAATAATATCCATTATATGTTTGTATTTTTAAAGATTAGGCCTAATTATGAGCAACTTGACAAAATTTTGAAAACATATGTCTCAAAAGGTGGGAAAGATGGTGAACGAGATGAAATTGATGAAGAATTACGCATAATGATACCTTTATTAAATATTATTACTAATTGGTGGCAACCACGAGTTTCAGTAATTTCTCTACTTTGGGATTGCTTTCATAAAAGATTAGATGAACCATTTTTAATACAGACATCTGGCCCTTGGACTCTATCAGTTGAAAAGTAAGCAAATAATGTATATAGTATTATATTTTTGTGGTCTAAAAAAATGGTTTCTAATAGGAAAACTGCTATGGACATTCTTAAACAAGTAAGAGATAGAATTAATAACATAGAATGTATTAAAGAGTCTAGCTATGGAATGTTTTTACGTCTGCTTGGTAAGTATTATATTTCTATATAAAGTAATTGTATCTGTGAATATATTAATTCTAATTACATATTGCAGGATCCTTCTTGCAAATAAATTATAGTAACAATGATACAAAGTACTGGAATCAAATTAAAGGTCGTATCTATTCAAAGTTCTCCAAGAGCAAAGTACAAGAATTTTCCATAAGTGGCTTGTATAATTTCATTTCATTATTTTTAACATTAGCTGTTACTGGGGATACCACAAATGTAGTAAGGTTTACATTTTAATATAAGAAATTTTATCTCTATCAAATATATACAGTTGCGTGACTTTTTTTTTTCTTTACAGTGTTCAGTAATGCTAGATCTTTTACCACTAACAAAAGAGTACAGTAATGAAAATAGTACAAAATATATTTTAGTTTGGAAAGGAAAGCTGACTATTCTTCTTTTGTATAGCGATCTTGGACTTAATTTTAATAACGTAGCACCTTGCTATATAGATACGGTATAATATAAAAATATGTATTTGATAAATTCAATGTTCCATATTTTTATTTTAATCATATTTATAGGTGAATGCAATAAGTTGCCGTAAAGATGATACATCCCGTTCGATGATGGTCAATTTTGTCGAAGTGTTTAATATAATTTTGTCATCTAGCAGTGTGCAATTAGGAGAACATTTACTGCTCAGTGGTTGGATAGATCGTTATTTACTAGAATGTTCGAATAGAATGGTCGGAACACTAACAAAGATGTTAGTTAATATTTTCGAAAAATGCGTTTCCCTCACTGTTAATTCCACTAATTCAGGTTTGTTGCTTTTGAATTGTTTAATAACTGCAATTTGTTTTCTCCTTTCTTTTTAATTTGTTTATTTGTCAAGTGTAGATGGTGTAGAAAAAATGTTTGATGCATTATGGTGTTATGTTGCGTGTAGAGTACGTCAACTTGTTTTTGATCCTGTACTGACTGGTGATTATTATGGGGATGTCTCAAAACTTGCCACTGCATTTACTTTAGAAGCACTGAGAAATCCACTAATAGCAAAAAAATATAAGCATTCAGCTATGTCTTTATTTCAACATTTTGCCTCGTCTGTAATTGTGAAAGATATCAGGTAATATCACAAATTGTATTTAATATCATAATTGTAAAATATCTTGTAAAAATTGTATTTCAGAATCACGAGATGTTACTTGGTTTTAATACTTAAGCAGGAACAAGCAGCTCAAGCCTTAAAGAAAGAGATAAAAAATTTTGATATAATAGTCATACAAGTTAGTGCAATTTCAAAATGCATGAAGATAATTTTAAGCAAAGAAATTTTAACATACACGAATTTTAGGCATGGATAAAATGTTCTATCATTGGCCATGGCACAAATGCAAATGAAATAACATTTATACAAAATTATATTTTACAACTGAATGAAATACAAGAAATTTTTGTGACACCTCAAGATATTCAAGAATTTCGAAACAGTGATGAATCCATTTTAGTGTTCATAATGTATTCTATGAAGAAACGAAGTACTTTAAAAGTATAAATCTACAAACGTAATATAAAAATTAGTATCAATTCGATCAGTTACAAATTGTTAATTGTTTCCTTTCAGACCGAACAAGAACGAATTCAGTATGACGCAAAATGGAAATTGTATTTTAATCACATAGAAAAATGGATTCTTACACCAATCACAGAAGAAACGAAAGATTCAGAATTAGCTTTGTGGATATATAGGTGTATTGGAACACTAATTCTTTGTACTTCTACAATGCTATACTCTAAAGTGAGTATCAAAAGTAAAACTTTATGTGTGTATAAAGTATGATATTAAGGACATTATATTTAATGTAAATTTATTTTTAGAATATACCGAATAATATATTCAGAACATTATTACATAAAACTGTTCTTTCAATGGATCAGCCGTTTTTAAAAAATTTGGGGAAAAAGACATTTTCTATGATACTTCTAGGAATAGAAGCTCTTAATGTTAAAAGCGATATATCACTTCAAGCATTAATACGAGATCTCTTTGATCAATACATGCCACTCTTAATAACTCCAGTTAATAATGCAAATAATTTTAAAGTATCTGATTCATTACTAAAGTGTTTCAGAGACGCAAAGGCAGATTTTTTACGTTTAATATTTGAAATATTAATGACAAATTTTTTTACCGTTTCAAGTGATAACATGATGCATAAACACTTTTATTTAGTACGTATCATTTTCTATTTTTTGTGTAACTATTATAAGGCTCCTTGTAATTAAATGTGTTTTTAATGCAGGTAATGATATATTTACAAAGTCTACTTAAAGGTGATAAAAATTACGCATATCATGTAACAGAATACATTATTTTAATTTGTACACCTTATATTATTGAAGGTTACATGAAAGTTCATGATCATCATCCACATAAACAACATACCATAGACTTCATAACTAATGTTATTAGGAATTCATATTATAAAGAAGACCACACTTTACAGTTAGTACTAATAGTTGTAATTAGTTTAACAAATATCTCCAGATTATATTTCATGAATTTAACAATTCCAGGGAAAAATTTAATAATGTTATATCCAATGTTGTCCAGAAATCAATAATAAAAGATCAACATAATACTTTCAAATTTATACGGTCAGTGTTACCAATAAACACCGAAATAGTACAATTTTTATTAGCAAACATAGAACATACCTTAATTAACTTGGAAAGAAATCGACGTCCAAACGCAGCATCATTAAGGTGAGAATATAGTTAAAATTGTTCTTCGTAAAGGTAATATTATATAAATTTTATTTAACTTTCAGATATTCCTGGAATCAACTTCAAACTGCTATGAAAAATATAAAAGAAAATCGGTAGTAACTTTTAAAAAATTTATTAATAAATAGTGAATAGTATCGAATGATACTCTGTTATGCTACAGATCCATTATGTATACTTGAATTGTATAAACGAATAACTGTATTTGTGTACATAATTGCAAGAAATTATATTGTATAAAGTATACTCGTTTAAAGTATAATAGATAAACATAAAACTATGAATTAAAAAGGAAATTAATGTTACATATAGTACAGATACGTTATAAATTGTCAAGCTTTGATGCATATGCAATTTTGTTTGACCGATTCATAAGGGACAATTTCTTGTTTAGAGAACAAATTGTATTTTACAAAATATGTAAAAAACAACACAGTCACTTTTTTCTCTATTTTCGATGTGAGTGCCTTGATCGATGATGCTTTAGTGACGTAGTAGTTGTACTACCGGGGGGCGATCGTCATCCAATTAATTCAAGGCGAGATACGGCACTACGCACAGCGTTTCGTAAAGATTGCTCGACGTTACTGTTTAATAACGATTCGAGTCTTTCGACGTAACTATCGATATTTTGTAACGTAGCACCTTCATGTGTGCCTAAAAATAAACGTATAATAATGTTTACTATCTAAACTGCAAGAAACAAGTAACACAATATACTAATTCTTCGTATATAAATTCAACCTGGAAGAGATACTGTGGCAAAACAACCAGCTAACTGCGAACGAAGGGAATCCAAATGACGTTGTAAAGCTTGATTTGTCGTGCGCTGTTGATTTGTTTCAGACTCCAGACGATTTACAGCTGCATACAGGCTGTCCACATGTCGTTGAAGAACAGCATTCTGAGCCTCATAATCTGATGTAGCTTTTCTTAGTTGCCTTAGTTCTGCTTCGCATGCTGGGTACATAAAATGTATTTATAAGTAATTTATACATATAAATAGGATATATATTTCTGTAACTTTGTTACTGAATTTTTGCTATTTTTGGGTTTGTTTAATGGCATCAAAACCCAAGATATATTTTTAGAATATTTGCTCGTCTGTTTAAATGTTTATATAACACATTTTTTTATTTAATTCCATAGTATATACCAAAAAAGTTTGACCATTAAAATCTAGGACACCTTATATATACATGCTTTCAAACTGATATTCTCGTAAGGAAAGCTACATATGTCTAAAAACTAGTTTCTGAATGAAAATATAAAAACTATTGTGCCATTTACCTTTGTTATGATCCAAGAATTCTTCTGTAAAAATGGGGATATCGAAACCTGTAAAATCATTATCTTTCTCTTGTTGAATATCCTATTAAAAGAAATATTTTAGAACAATTATGTTTATTAGGTTCCAAATGTGTAAAAGAGAAGTACCATACATTTTGCTCAGAATTAAGGTCAGTTCCGTTTCTTTCCTTTTTAGTTTCCTGCTGCTTCTCCAATGACTGTTTTTCATTAAATAGACGGTAGGCTTCTGTTTGCTTATAATCGCTGAACTCACGATTATAACGTTCTTTGTCTTGTTCCGCTGCATCTAAATACTGTTGCTTTTGATCAGCAGGTAATGTACTCCACTCTGATGCAAGCAGTTTTGTAATTTCAGCAAATGATAATGTTGGATTTTCACCTCTTACTTTTTCCCGCCGGTCATTTAAAAACCTACGTTATATTTTATTAACAAATATTTCTTTTGTCTCATCCTTATTTTTTGTTAGTTAATTGCAAGTATACCTAAAATAGCCTGTGAGTGGTTGCTTTGGTGCAGTAGCATCCCTTGGAGCTTTCTTGCGTTTCTTTGATCTATTAGTTGTATTAGTGGTATTACTTCCAACTACAGAAGTTGTATTATTCTTTTTAATTCCATTGTCACATACAGAGTCCGGTGCTTTGTCTTCTGTGCTTCCTGGTGATTTATCTAATAAATAAATTATTATTCCTTTAAACATATAAGTGATCAAATATAATTATATATTTGTAGATTAATGTAATTCAAATTACTAGTATGATCTTCAGTTTCTCCGTTAAAAGTTGGTTGTTCCGGCCCACCATTGCTTTCAGGCACATCAATAACTGGTGCACTTTCACTCATTTTTTTATGACGTACGTTTTTATTTCCCTGCAAGGTTTTACTGGTTTTAACTAATATTCATAACTGACCTTTTTAGATTCAAAGCAATAGCTGGATTATTGCCTGTAAGGTTATATAGAATGCAATATATCGTTTCGCAAGTTTAAATGAAATTAATTATCGCAAGATTTTAATAGTTACCGTAACCAATACATTTTTAATAAACGTAATACATAAATTCGTGTAATGATAGTCAATTAGGTTAAACAATGAATATGTTAACAACACTGTTGCAACCGAATGCAAACGAAACGCTACTCAAATCATGACCGGTGTTAGATTCAAACGTGTATTATATGAGTAAAAATGAATAGTTCATAACAGAAATAACATATCGACAACAATACGTAGTCATTACATTTGGTTGGCATAAACACTAAAGCCAACTTTTCATGGAGAGGATTCAAATGACGCTAATTCAAAGTTGATGATTTTACCGCTGAACTGAAACCGCATAAGATTCCTAGCCAAGGGAAGTGTACTTTCGACAAATGAAAAGAAGCGATTTATAGTTACATCTGGATTACCTTTAAACAAAGTCCATCGAAATTATTCGAAATCCATCGTTTAGCGCAATGTTTAATAGCTGTCCGGCACTGCTGAACGAAACATTTAATTTTACATAGTTCGTATAATACATGACAATTAAGAATATAACATGGAAGTAAATGATAATTCTATTGTTCTCCAAAATAGTAACAGGTGAATCACTTTATGCAGTTTATGTAAATCAATGTGATTTTGAGTTGGACTTACATGCATTTCAGACATAGAAATTCATTTTAAACGTGAATAATAACATAAGTATAAGTTATAAGAATTTGTTATATAGTTAAAAAGTTTTTTTTTAGCATATCTTTTACATAATTTGTACTATATTTGAGAATTTTTGTATTCCAATGATGTAGTAATGAAATCATTTTTTTCAGTATAACAGTAGCAGATTCTGTATGGAAATTTATTAGCAGTCCTATAATTGCAATTTTCTCTGATTTAAAAAATGCAACTGCAGAACAAATGCTTTATTCCCTTTTAGAATCAATACTTAAAGGTTCAGCTACTTTAACTACAGTTTTAGTTCCACCATTTAGTAATGGAATTCAAAATGAAATGCTACAATGTCAATATGCTGGTAAATACTTTAAGCATTAAATATTGTATAAGTTCTATCTGAATTTAATTAGTTATATTTTATAAATTTTTATTGTTTTTTGATTATAGCGTTCACTACTTGGTTATTTGGTACAATGTTTTATATAGTTGGAGATCCTCTAAGCAATAAAATTTTAGTTAACAGCATAGAGATACAGGCTTGTATGCTTAGAATATTGTCCAGACATCATGTCACAATGTTTGAAACTATTAGTATTGAGTATATGAATATTCTTCAAGGTATGTAATCATAATATTATTCAACTTTCAAACTCTAATGATATTATACATTTCAGAAATATCAGAATTTTATAAGGCCAATGAAGATGGAGATGAAATTACATTAACTAAATTTAATATAGAAAGAAATGCCATAGAGAATTTAGATCTGCAAGCATTTCCTGTTACGATTAAGTATTCTGATATACCATTAGTACAAATGTCTATATTAAAAGTAATTTATCTGTTTGCATGTTTTATCCTTATAGTTAACCAGAGGCAGATCTATGATAAAACTGATGAAATAACAGCTTCAGGCCAAATATAAAGTGTGCCTCCAAGCTTCTTGTTTGTTGATCTCCTAATTTAATTACTATTCTGAAACATAGAAAACACTTTATTTGTTCTTGAAATGTGTTCTCACAGACGTTTTTGTTAGGAAATTTTTTCCATATAAAATTATATACTATTTTTCTCTATTTAGTATTCTTTTTATAGGTTTTAAAATTGATAAATCTAGATCTGCCACTGTGCTTAATATTACTACACTAAAAATTATATTCATTTTCACAGATAGTTGCAAAGACAGGAGTTTCAGTTTGGAATGCAAAAGTAATCTCAGACACAGTATTAAAAGTTATAATCATATCTGTTCCAAATGTGAAGTTTACGGCACTAGATCTTTGTGTAAAATTAATGGAATTTTCTTTAATTAATAAACAGGTGCGTATACTGTAAATAAATATTGAAATATACATATATATTACAAATTACATTTTTAATTTAAGGAACTTGAATGTTTGATTCTCTATATTATTGAAATTATTAAAATAATTCCTACGTGGTTAGATTTGAATGAAATATCAGAAAAAGAGTTATATGCATTTATAGAGACACTTACTCAGTTTATTCAGTCATCGCAAATATTTCCAAATAGTATTGAATTGTGCTTTCAAGTTATTGATCTTACAGTTCATGAACTAATCCGTAAGTAAACTAAAATACGAGTCATTTTTGTTATTTTTGTATAACAAATTATAAATTAAAAATTAATATTTAGAGCATAATGCTAATCATAGAGCAGCAACACTACTGAAAGAAACAGTATGTAATAAAATTAGACAGTATTTTATTATGGAACCAAGAATTTGTACTCTTTCTGAAGCAAAGAAATTTATATCATACTTTGAATATTGTCCGGTTAGTACTAATTAAAATTACATAATCTATTTATTTAGTAGGTAGATTTTCATATACCGTGCAGAGTAATAACATAAAGCTGTTACAGGATTTTATTATCATCTTTATTCATTGTGTTCTCACTGATGTTCAATGCACTGCTAGTGGAAATAATTTAATCAGCGATGTCTGTGAATCGTGGAATTTATTGAGAAACGAATTAATAACCGTAACACAGGCAGGAAAGTTCGAAAGAACTATGCATATTTTGAAAGCATCACGTATTTTACAGTCATGGCTAAAGGAATTAAAATTGCAAATAAATTTGTACACAACTGATTTAAATGATGTTTTAAAAATACTTCTGGAAAGCTTAAGCTCTGGACAATGTCGGCAAAAGAAAAGTGTTTTTGAATGTTTCATTCATATGATGGCACACAATGAGTCGAATAAAGATTTAATTCAAAAACTATTAAGTTTACCATTTATTCAACATATTGAGATTCCAGGGGGAATAATGAATAACCATGTGAAAGAAGCTGCTTGTTCTCTTGATATTGCGACAATGCTAAAATGTCTTGAAGTTTTATGTGAATTTGGTAATGGAATGGAGCGATTAAGAATATTAAATATTTGTATATTAAATTGTAAAACTGAATTAGCAGTGGGAGCATTATGGTAAGTACATTATTTTTGAACATATAGGCAGTCATGTAAATAAAAAATTTCACAGGAATAGTGTTCTACTTCTAAAGAACAGACAAATAAAATTGGATGACATTTCAAAATATATTCTTCAAACTGCATTAAATTCAAAAGATGAAAATGTTCATGAAATGCTTGTAATTGTATTGGGTAAAATAAGTTGTTATTTATCAGGGCACGCAGACTTCATAAGGTAATTTTAGTCAATTAATTAATTCACTTTCTTATGTGAACAGATTATTGAATGTAATATTTTTTTAAATAGAGAATTAGATAACACAAAGTGGGCAGTACAATGCAAATATTGTACCAACAATTTTGAGAGTAATGTTGGAAGCAATCCTAATGTCTGTTATGTTTCGGATGAGTATGATTACCTCCTTAATCAATGCTTTAGTTTATTATCTTCAGACTTTGTGTCAGTACGTTTACGGATTTCTGAGAATATCCTATTCTTTTCAAATCACATAAAGTCGTTTAATGACAATGAAATAGTAAAAGTATGGTGTTTATACATGGAGGATGAAAATCCTATGATTCGTTCTAATATTGCTGCGGCGATAAAAGGAATAATAAATAATAAAATAAATGTAGTTGCAAAAGTTGTAACATCTGTAGAAAATGATGTGCCTGCTTCTTTAAATGAATTTATCAATTTATTAATCAATACTATGGCAAGTGCACTTATGAAAGCTCTAAAAAATTCCAATCATGCTCTGCATGATACTTTACTTATTACAGCAAGAAATTGTACAAGGTAAGATAAGTACAAGAAAAGTATTAAATTTATGTGAAATATACAGATTATTAATTTTTTACTTCTAGCATTCCATTATATACAATTGAAAGACGAATTTTGAATATATTTCTAATTTCTATAATATACTCAACATCATCTCCAGCAGCAGTAGCATTCGCTACAACCGCGTATCACGATTTTGCCAAATTCTTAAATGTTTCTCCTAAAGTGTTATATGTCCGGTATAAAAAAGACTTCATTAAGGTATATAAATAATTCAACTAATATGAAAAGGAATGGTGAAATTATTTTTTCAAGTAATATATTTTATTAATTTTAGCTCATAATGCAATGTGCTGTCCATAATTTTATAAATCATTCCTATAATATGGCCACATCGATACATCGTGTTGCAAAGTGTATTGGATATGAGGGATCGCGTCAATTGCTGCGAAAAGATGGTCATTATGCAGTCTCTTTTTTGCTTTCTTTCATTGTTAATGTGCCGCATGCGAAAGCTCTTTTACGCGACATAGCTGAATTAATTAGTATGGATGAAAAACAAATGTTGAAGGAATATTTTCCGGTATGTATTTAAAATAGAAATTTGATCAATTTTCCATTGTAACTATTCAGTAATTATTCATATGTTCTGTTCAGTATATTTGCAGTTATGCATTTTTAAATATGCCTCTAGCAACTGCTACGGAATGTTTAAGATTGATATGTAAGCTCACACAAACGAATTTATCACTCTTGACAAGACAATCATTTATGGTAATACAAATGAGTTTATAACTGTTACTAGATTATTGAAACTCAATTTTAATATTGTCTACAAATATGATTATTAGGGTATATTTGAAGAATTGATGTTATATTTTCACGAAGCCCCTGAGAAGATAGTTGGATTATTAAAAATTATATCTGATTACGACAATAACTCGGAAAAAAATTTTATCACACAAAAGGGAATTGTATGCTTGCATATCTATTTCTGTTCATTTGCAAAGGGAATTCAATTTTACATAAGTACATTGTATTTGTATTATTTGTAGGAATCGTATTTGAATTTACGTTTACATGGCATATTAGTAAATTTTGACATAAAGCTTGGATCTAAATCAGATGAACATACACAACAGTCTGCGCTTGCCTCATTAGCGGCATTAATGCGATATATGGGTGCAGAATACTTAACACCATTGAGGTATAAAATCTTAGCAACATTGCGAACATCGCTTGGATTCAAGAGACCAGGATTTGGACCTCTAATATGCGATGCATGGAATGCATTCATTCATAAGTATGTAAAATAAAGGTAAAAATACCTGATTAGCCATAGAAGTGTATAGCTGTTCTTTTTCTCATGTTTCAGCCTAGCTATTAAAGAACTTGATCCATTATTACCAACTATATATGTATCCTTGATACCATTATTAAAAATATATAGAGAAAAAGTAATTGCAATGTTAAAGTTCCTTATTATTGAGTGTAATGAAGAAAACTCCAATCACATTGCAGAATTGTTTTTTATAGACGATATAGATGTTCCTGATGAAATTTCAAATATAATCAAAGCACATATTTTGCAAGCCAGGTATATAGAAAATATTTTTTTTTATATCCGTTATATGTATGTGTTTACTATGTTGTATACTATATGATTTTTAGGCCCAAAGGTTTTGAAGCAAATTTAAAGTTATGGCTTAAACGAATTACTCACGAAACGGATGAAGTAAGAATTAGGGCTTTGATGTATTTACAGAAATTCCTGGCAGAACATCGTAGTCAGTTGAATGAAATGATTCTAAGTGAAACAGATGTTCATCCACTGGTCGTTAATGTACGTTTCTCCTTTAAAATACTAAATATACTAATTATACATTGATTATTATTAATTTTCTAGCTACTGGATACATTGTTAATTGGGTGTCAACATACAGATGAATCTATTCGTTTATTGTATGGAGAATGTTTAGGAGAATTAGGTGCAATTGAACCAAGTCTTTTACCACGCAGAATTATTTCTAGAGGTATATTGTTTATACTTTGTTGTTAAATATTATTAATACTAAAATGTTTTTGGCATTTTAGATGACAGTAAATTTATTTCTGATATGAACGAAGAATTTGCCTGTGCTATGCTCTTTGAACATGTACGAGCATTTCAAATGCAAAAAAGCAGCCAGAGTATGGACTGTTTCTCACTTGCTATTCAAGTATGCAATATACCAATCTATGAATTTTGATATTGTAAATCTATATGTAATTTAAAGAGTGCATACAATTTTAGGAAATTTTAAAAGCATACAATATTTCACCTCAAGGCATAAACAGTGAATTGTGGAATAGTCTACCTTTAACTATGAGGCAAATTATTTTTCCCTTTCTAACTTCGCATTACAAGATAGCTGCTGTCAGCGACGATAAAAAGTTTCCATGTCCTATTTATGGGTAAATAAAAAATTTAATCATGGTATTTTATACATAGTATTACACTAAATGTATACATAGAACTATATTGTACTATATGTATATATGTAGGTACTGTATTATTGTTTCTTTAGTTCTGAAGCAGGTTCTTCGGTTGAAAGTTGGGCTTACAATTGGTTTTGCAGCATGTTTAACGATATTTACGATGAAACACTTAATAGTGTATTACGTGCGTGTAAATTGGCACTTAAACGAGATATAAAAATACTCACATTTTGTTTACCGCACGTTGTATGTAAGTAATTTCAATATCATTTTAATAATACTCGCAGTTGTGTGTGTATACATATATGTATGTATGTACATGTATAATATCTTCACTAGCGTATATAATAACAAATGGCACCGAACAAGAACATATAAGAATACAAGAAGAAATGTTAACAATAATTGATGTTAGAAAAAAACCTACACTCGATCCTGAATTGTCGCGTCATCGACCGCTTAGACATGGACATAGTGTAAAGGCAGATGATACACGAATTTCTGAAGAAACTAGACGCACACGTTGCGCACAGGTACATAAACCGGAAAGCAATATTTTTATCGTTCGGTAAATAATTTATTTTTTAATTTTTGGACAGATTGTATTTTCAATATTAGATCATTTGCAAAGATGGCTTTGGGAACAACGGTTAAATCGTAATTATAAGTATGAAGCAGTAAAAAGTAAGTCAGTTTAATGTAAATTATTAACTGCGCGATATTCACGAATTACCTTTCGTATTGCTTTAGACTTCTGCGAGAAATTAAATGCATTAGTAGTGGCTGAAGGTTGTTATCAATCTCGAGAATATCATAGGGCCCTAATGTATTTAGAGCAACATATAGCTTCTACCAATAAGGGATTGTCAGAGGCACTGGAAGGTGGATTGTTAGCTGTAAGTGAACTCTAGATTGATATAGTGTAATATATTTCAGTAATTATTTCTTTCTTTAGAAAATATATGCGCAATTGGATGAACCAGATGGTATATCTGGTATATTAGCTACTCAAGATCATACTCCTACAGTTCAACAATTAGTTTTAGCTCATGAAGTTAATGGACAGCTTCAGGTATAATATAATTTGTTTTTGAGTGTATTGATTCAATCAGTATTCAATAAGTATATAAATATGAAGCTTTTATTAAATGTATAGGATGCGGCTACATGCTATGAAAGACTAGCACAGAAAAAAAATTTAAAACATACATATTTACAAGGCATGATACAATGTTATCTTGGTCTCGATCAGCCTTTTACGGCAAAATATATTACTGAAGGAGTTTTGAGTAGCAGGTAATTATATGTATATACATATTAAAATAATTATTTTCTTTAGTAATATATGAAAAATGATATTTTAGACCTGAACTAGAGCCATTAATGATTGAACATGAGCCTTTTTGGAGATTGGCACATTTTACTAGACTTGATGATACTTCGCAAAAAAACATAAAGCACACTCTGCTTGAAGATCTCAAGAAAGGTGTTAAGCCAGATTTGCTGCCATTAAAAAAAAATCTAGTGTCATTGTTAGAAGATACTTCACGGCCGGGAGCTTATCAGCAATGTTATTCCTACATTATGAAGTAAGATTAATATTTAAAACCATAAAAACTTTGTATTTATTATAATATTTTATGATCAATAGGCTACATATATTGAATGAATTCGATAAAGCAGTTTCTACCATGCTGACTAATATAGAGCAACTGCCAATGATATTTGAAGAGTGGGACAAACGTGGTCAACTTGTTAGAGCTTCGCGTGGAGTTGAATTTGTATTCAGTATGCGCAGAGCCACGTTAGATCTAGCAGTTCAGTTACAGGAGGAAGTTAACAATAGAGAAAACTCTGTACTTAAACAAGAAATTGGCAAGATTTGGCTTAAAAGCGCTAAGATTGCGAGGAAGTATGCACTTTAATTTATAAGCACTAGCTAATTATCTGTTCTTATTTTACTGTCTATTCAAATTACATTTACTTTTAGGAGAGGATTACATCAACAAGCGTATATGTATATTTTATCAGCTAGTGATTCCTGTCCACCGCAACAACTTTATATAGAACAAGCTCAGTTATATTGGCAAAAAGGATGCCAGGAAGATGCTTTTACAACATTAAAGCGATGTTTCTCCAGTTGTTTCAAATCCGCTACATATTACAAAACTTTGGTGTCGTCAGAGTGTGTAGAAGAAAGAAAACAATGCGCAAAGGTTTGTTAACATAAACAGGGCACAATGTCAAAGTACAATATTAATTTTCATTCATTTTAGGCAAAACTTTTGTATGCAAAGTATAATGATGAAACAGTTAATGTGGATACTGATGCTAATATTATAAATTACAAGGAGGCTATTGAAGTTTGGAGAGAATGGGAAAAAAGTTTACTTTTTTGTGCACAGTATTATGAATCTGTCATAGATAGGATGACTGATGATGAAAAGGATAGAAGGGGACGGTAATTATCATATAAACGGTATTTTGATAAAAATAATGTTGTTAACATATAATACTTTCTAGAGATTTACAAGTACACGCTATGAATTTTTATGGAAAATCACTTCAGTATGGTTGCAAGTATATTCATCAATCTATGCCAAGAATGTTGACTATATGGTTGGATTTTGCTTCTCGTATAACATCTCGACCTAGTCAGTATAGTAATCACGATGTTGATAAGCTTCGACGTGATGCGTTATTAAAAATGACAAAAATTATGGGTAAATTATTCATTTTGCAAGGTTTTCATATGTAAGTATTATTGACGCCGCTTGTTAATTTAAACAAGTATTCCCATTAAAAATTTTCATACACATAACGGTTGAAACATCAAAGAAATGGTTGGCAGAATTTATAATAAAATTCCTATGAAAAAAAAACTTATAAAAATAGAAATAAAAAAAATGAAGCGCCTGACATTATTTAAAATTATATTGTACTCTGAATTAACATAAAAAGAAATACAAAAATTAAAATATGTTTCCTGCTGCTCTAGACCGGGTTCTTGGTGTTTACTATTTTCATGCATTCAGATCATCTCTACATGAAATCGTACTTGGTATCATTAAACTGGTATACTTTTGGTGCCAATAATCTTTGCACATGAAAGCCCTGCGTTAGACAAAATAAAAGTGAGAAATTGAATAATATATTCTTCTATTACACAGAAGTATATCAAGAAAGACTGCCAATATTTATGTGGCTGACAGCATTTAGTCAACTCGTATCTAGAATATGCCATCCCTCTATGGAAGTGCAAAATACTCTTTGTACAATAGTAGTAAAACTAATTTATGCTTATCCTCAACATTGTTTATGGATGATGGCATCAGTTATTAATGTAAGTTCTTAAACTATAAAATATTTAAATAGATTTTCATTTGAAATATTTCTCTCAGTCTTCTTACCCTGCGCGTCAAAGACGTTGTCAGGAAATTCTCAATAATTCCAAACTTAAAACTATGGAAATGACGAAACTTATTAAAGATTTTCACAAACTATGGGAGAGATTAATTGAATTATCCAACAAAGTAATTCCAGATGTAAGTACTAATATATATTACACTAAACCAATGAAATATTACATATTTATGATTTGACAACAGGGTGTTATGAATACTACAGTAAACCAATTATCACGAAACCTTCCACGTTTACTTTCAAATAAAGAATTTAGTTCAATTATGATGCCGACAACTAAGTTCAGGCAACTTCATCTACCCGCTAAGGGTGTATCATTGGAAAATCACAATCCTTTTTCATCGTACGTACAGCATTATATAACATTATTCAAAGTACCTGTTATGTGCCATACATTATAGATAAAATAATGTTATGAATTTTCAGAACCTGGGTTCATATATTTGGAATAGAAGAGACTGTAGTTGTTATGCCATCACTTCAAAGACCGCGACGTATTGCATTAAAAGGATCAGATGGTAGACAATATCTTTTTATGTGCAAGCCAAAAGACGATTTACGAAGAGACTTTAGATTGATGGAATTTAACGATATTGTAAATAAATATCTTCAAAATGATCCTGAATCACGACAAACAAGATTGTATATTCGAACATACGTAAGATATTAAAGATATTAAAACGCATAACACTACCTTCTAGACGCAGTATACTTTATTTGCATTACAGAGTGTTGTACCCTTAAATGAAGAATGTGGTTTAATAGAGTGGGTACCGAATCTAGTTGGTTTTAGACCCGTTATTATAAATTTATATAAAGAAAGAGGTATTGCGATTTCAAACAGAGAACTTAGAACCATGTTATGCAGTAAGTAGAGGTAGTATTATTCGTAAGTAAGTATTAATTAAATACATAGTTCTTATCTGTTTGTCGTACTTCAGCGTTAAAAGATCCTCTAGAGAAAAAGAGGAAGGTATTTTTAGAACAACTCTTACCGCGACATTCTTCAGTTCTTGGAGACTGGTTTCGTCTTACATTCCCTGATCCATATGGATGGTAAGTTTTGTGGCAAATTCTGAAAATAGAAACAAATTTCATCATTCAGATACACATATGTATAGGTACGAAGCACGTACCGCGTTCATTAGAACCACAGCAGTGATGTCCATGGTGGGATATATTCTTGGTCTTGGAGATCGTCATGGAGAGAATATACTATATGATTCTAAATGCGGAGATTCTGTACATGTTGACTTCAATTGCTTATTTAACAGGGTACTTATAAAGTTACAGATGAATTATGAGTAGCAAGCAATTTTAAATACATCGATTACTTTTATTAATTATTGTATCGAGTAAAACAATATAAACTAAACAGCGTGTATATGTATAATGATTATAGCAAATACTTTTATGTAAATTCAAATTTTAATTATCAGGGAGAACTGTTCGACTGGCCAGAACGTGTGCCATTTCGTTTAACGCATAACATGGTAGATGCTATGGGACCATTAAAAATTGAAGGACCGTTCAGGCGTGCTTGTGAAATAACTATGAGAGTCCTTCGACAACAATGTAGTACATTGTTAAGTGTGCTTACTCCATTTGTATATGATCCACTTGTAAGCTGGAATAAGAACCAAACTGGCGAAGGCAGTGAAAAAACAAATGAAAAGGTAAAACACAATACACATAGTAATGCAATAAATTATTAATTATTAAAGTACAATACTAAATATTTTAGGCTGTAGAGCACATAAAGAATATAGAACAACGACTCAAAGGTCTGATTCGATCTCATGGGAAAAAATTAGAAAACATTGCTTTAAATCTTAGCGTTGAGGGACAAACTAATCATCTGATTCTAGAAGCGACAAATATAGATAATCTTTGTCAAATGTATTTTGGTTGGGGCGCATACATGTAAATGACTGTTATAATTTATAAAATATCTGATATTTCATTACATACTCATGATGTAGTCATTGATCAAGCATTTGGAGTTATGGAAATTAATTCCTCTGTATTAAGTTTCTAAATTGAAACTTTGAAGCAACATGAAGTATGAAAGTGCAGTACTAAGTGTCTACAAATAAATATAAATAAAGTAATTATTGTATATTCTATCTTTGACAATAAAAATTTTTATATATTTTTATACATAATTTAGTAGTAAAATTTTTACCGAACTGAAGTTTTCTAAATGCATCACATATATTTTTCCTGCTGTAATGCAACTAGGTTTCTGAGCACGTAACATGATCATGCACACTTCACTTTTAATAAAAGTTGGCAATTTATACCATTGTATAGAGTATACAGCTCTATATATACTAGTACTCTGCCATAATAAGAGATAATATAAGATAAAATACATATATTTATATACTATAAATAGTAGTTTTGTATGAAATTGTTCACCTTAGAGATTAAAATGTCTCCAGGGAAACAGAACAGTATTAGTTGAAAAAGTGCCATCATTAAATGAGAAAAGTATCTTATTAGTTTAGTTTGCACCAATAACGTCTACAATTAAAAAATGTGTATCAGACATTATATTGTAATTTACTTTATATCTTATTATAGTTTAGAGAAATCTAAAAATCATGCTTACTGTAGAAATTTGAAATCCGACAAAACAAATTATAAGACTGCTGGCCAAAGTTTGCAGAAAGAGCATTACATGAAAATTCTTTTCCATATTATCACAAAACCTGAATTTCATTAAAATGGATGAGAAAATAATGAAACACATTTGAGTACATTCAGTTTGTTTACCAAAGAATTACTTGATGATGTTTAATTACACATGCCACTTGAATTTTTATTTTGTATATATTTGCACTTATACTTTTTGAATTATTTTCCACGCTATTTATCTATAAAATATGAAATGTTATTGTCGTGTTAATTCAGAATTTTATATAAATATTACCATACATACACAATAAATGTTGGAATTTATTTGCTTTAAATTTTCTTCAAGAATTTTAAAATGTCCACATGTATGGAGCACAGCAGTTGCAATTAGGGTGTCAGTTGCAAGTATCATAAGACCACAAATACTTGTTGCCAATATTTGAGATACATAAGTAATCTATACACGTACATATACATATAAATTCAATTAAAATTTGAAACTATACTACATTTATAACAAAAGTGAAAATATTTGCAAATAATACCTCATAGAGAGGAAAATTATAGAAAGCCAAAGGATATGATGCAACAAATGGAAAATTCTTCTGTGTTAAATTATTAGTTGAATCTTGAATTATAGTAAAAAATATTTCAATGATAGGCACACTATAAAAAAATACTAATGAATTAATTATTAAAAATAAATAGCCTTTTGTAACATTTTTAGCACATCTGGAAAAACATATAATAAATACATTTCTATTTATATAAAAAAAGTATTAAGTAATTTTCTTTTCAATAATAATAATATTTACATTGCATATTCTTGTAGGTGTTCAAAAACATCAGTTTTAATTATTTTCCAATAATCTATTAACATGAAATGAATTAAAAATTCCATATTTTTTCGATTAAAAATCCAAACGAATGATTTTAGTATAGAAAGTGAAATTGTGAGCAAGACTGAACTGAAAATAAATAAAAAACTCTTATTTATTCGTTTTTATCAACAGAAAGTCTCAAATGCTTTGTTTTTACACATATTCAAACCTTGTTTCCAAAAGAATATTTAAGTTTTCCAAATTTGTACAGATTTGTGCTATTAGTGGTATAATAATAAGTAAAATACAACTAATACATATAATGTATCTTGCAATACTTATTGGGTAAAGTCCAACAAAGTTAAGAACTAACTGATTTATAGATATATAATTTTCAATATTCATTATATTTGTATTGTTTATTTGCTTTAGTGACTTTATACTTTGTTTACTAGAGCGAATATACTCTAAGCAAAAGACGTTAAACGATTTGCGGAATCAATAGTCCAAATAGCTAGTAATATTGAAGTACTACTTCTATCTTGAGCAATTTGAATTTCATTCATATTTTACACTAATTCTATCTTTACTGAACAATTTACTTATAAACGGACACGCGTTGTAATTGTAATGTAGTTGATCATTAGTATCAATTGTTAAGGATATAATGATACATTAGCTTTATGGAATATTCTATGCTTTGATCTTGTACTAAAGCAATTCAAAAAAGAAATACATAGTCTACATCAGAGAACTACTCATTTCACCAGTACAGTAGCTTATTAAAAGTTTAGTATAATGATAGGTTTCTTTTGAAACGGTACTCTTTGGTCATGTATTATTCACATATCATGATTCTGCTGTGAAATATTGCATAGGATCACAAAGGTATACTTTGAAACAGACTATAGTTTACTACTTAGTTCACTTTATGGGAAGAAACGGACTTCACAGGTGAATTTCATTTCAAGACGATATACACACGATAAAAGAACGCTGGTAATTATAAAGAATAATTTTAAAGGCACCGTTTGCTGTAAGTTTTTATAAAAATTTTAATACAACTTTGTATACACCATTTTTTATAAAATTTTATTGCGTCTATGTGGTGCACTGACAATAAATAAAACTCCAACTTTTGACTGCATATTTTACAAGTCATTATTCTGTATCACGTATAAGTAAAATATACTTATTCATGGCTTAGGTCAGTATTCAGAACACACTTGTTTTAAACAAATGTTTAAAGAAGTTGAATTTCTCACTGTATATATATATAACTTTAATTTGTTTAAATGTAATTTTTTATACCTATTTACTTATAAAATAATCATCAAGGAAATGTTTGTACAAATATTGATGATATTATTTAGACGAAGATGAATGAAAATAAGTTACTTTTTAATTCAAGGACATTTTCGTTCTACTTGGCTCTTCCCGCTTTCTTCGTATTCCTGACTTGAAATCCACATTTGTTGAAAAGTACCAATCGAGGCTAAAATAGACCCACCGATCCAAGCTCCAAATCGTCGTTCAGCACATCCATTTACACTAATCAACTTCAATCTCATACTAGAAGGTATTCTCATAGAGAGATCTCTATTTAAACGCTCTGGGAAACCCTATATAATATAACACATTAACAACAATATGGATAAATTGTTTCTATAAATTGTGCATATATCTATAATGTTCTCACTATACCTGAATAAATGAATTGCCACCAGTAACAACAACACTTCCATAAAGAGCCGGTCTAACATCAACATCACACATGCCTACACTAGTTGTTACAATGTGACCTACTCCCAACATGGTATTACCAACCATACCACCACGCATTTGTACCATACTAGGATCAAAGAGTGCCTCTGGCATACGAAATCTTTCACTTCCAAAATCCTTTAAATGTTATTAATATTTGTCAGATATTAATATTCTAAAAATAATGCACATTACCTATGCTGCTCTTAAATACCTGATGATATCCAGTAGGAAACTCATATTGAACTGCAGGAATTGTAGAAACTATTTTTTCATCGTATGGAGTTTCAGATACTTGTAACACTGTAGCTTGGAAATCTTGGATAAGTTTCTTTACCATATAATTATGCCAGGATTTAGTCACTTCAGGCAAACCTTTCTTTTTTACCCATCGTGGTTTATCATGATCTTTAACAACTTCTTTACTACCCACCATATAAGAAGGAGACAGATCAATATCATTGTCCTGCTATTATTTAAAGAATGTAATTATGTAATTTCATTATGCTATAAAATAATATTATTAATTATATTTATACCTGAAGAAATTGTCTACACTGCATGCTTATATAGTCTCCGCCAAGTGGAGATTTAACTATTGCCTGTGTTAATACAAAACCATCTTGTACAGGCACAGCAGATGTGTGTGTTGCTCCACTGTCAACAACAATACCAGTTGCTCTACCATTTGCAAATGCAGCGAGAACTGCATTTTTAACAAGAAAATAAGCTGGCACATTATATTTCTCAAACATTAATTCAGTTAATTTTTCTCTTTTACTGCGTACATTCCATGGTGATTCAGAAAACAATACTGGATGATATTCTGCATCTGACTGAATTACTTTGGAATAAGTATAATCTAAAACCTATTAGACACCAAAACAAGAGACAGGTGTTTGTATTTTATGCATATAAAATTAAAGAATCTTAAAGCCTATATAAAAATATTATACTTCTATGTTACCTTTTCAAAATGATCCCAATCTTCAATCATACCATCTTTCATATAACTCACAACTTCCATATTTTTTCGTGGAACATGTAGTATAGTAGTGTCAATATAGTATTTGGTCCCAGATTGTGTAATGTTATTATCTGGTTTTTTATCATCAATATCCATGGGTTCTGTTTTTGTTGCTGTACAATTGCCATCTTCTCCTACACCTACAACTGCTGGAATTTCAGCTTTAGGAGTATCTTCTTGAGCATAACCAACTCTTAAAGAATGATGGCCTAAGTCAAATACTAAAGCTCCAATTTCATCTCCTCCATAAAGCATGCCACCTGACATTTTGTTGATTTGAAAAATACCTGTAACAATAATAAAAGTACTTGTACAAACAACCTTTCTCCTATAATAATTAATATGTATTTCCTAATCGTTATTCGTATCAACGATAAAAGGGACTAAAAAGCCAGCTTCTGTCATAAAAACAATACAAACGTTAGACTTACTATATACAAGTCGAAACGGTTAATAATTCATATTGAATGAATACCTAAAAAATATATTTCTATTTTAACTCCACAACTCACCGTAGCTTGTCTACAAAAATAACTCAATGAAATGGCAAAAATATATGTATTTGGCGACTACATGAACGTTTATTTATGTATTTTGTTTAATGTAACAGAAACATAACCTCAACTCAGAAAGACGCTTAATGCCTGGTGCCGCCACCACGAACGCAGCAATTTTGAGATTACGCTCTATTAGATGAAATTATGAAATTTTTTTGATTATCATCCCTTATTATCAGAAGTGTCATATTTCCATACTTTTAGTATATCTCAAGTTGTTTTATTAATACGTTTATACTCACTGTTACATATACGGAACACAAAATTTTGTGCATTTGTTATACATATATAATAAGTTCAAGTAATAAGAAAATTCTTTTCAATTTGTAAAATACGTGTAAAAATTGACTTTCAACACAACTAATGATTTATGAGTACGGCAATACCTTTTTAAGTGTTTTAAACATTTGTATTATTTATGAGCATAAATGTATTAATGTATATGTATATTAACATTATTTTATAATTTTAATTGTATATAAATATCTACGCGAAACTATTTATTAAAGTAACTGTAAAACTTTTGAACTCAAGCAGAAAATAAGTAAGTATAATTAAAAGGTACAATTTCCATGTAAAATAACAATAAGAATTGCTTGAACAATTTGGAGAAATGATATTTACAAATAATTTGTTATTGAATAAAAGTTGGTTCGAATTGTATTTTCTTAGAATTAATGCAATAGCTAGCCGGGTGCTAATAAGGGTTTAAACCACCTGTTAATTCTGTGAGTTTTCGCTGATAGCGTTGCGATCGTGAGAACTCACAAAATGGCGTCGTAAGTCAGATCGTTGAACGACTCGAGACAATGCGGAGGTGTATAGCCATCCTTTAGCCATGTTCCATCGTCGGGTTCGCGACAGTGTTGTGCGAAAATGAGGTTTACGAATGCAAGACTTAATTTGTCGTTTCACGGGCGACGGTGAACCAAAGGAATTGGCATGTGTTCGCTCAATAGAACATTGTATGCTCGTGCAGCGATCGTGTGAAGAAATTACGGTGGGTTTTCGTACGCGTCGGAGTCTGTGACACCCGCTGGCCCAATGGAGCCGCGTACTCTCGCTGTCCCGTTGGCTTTGTTGACATTCGTCGTACTGGGTAAGTTCTATTTATTTTTATCATAAAAATGTTATTTGACGTTATTTTTACCAAACAGAACGTGCTTTGATTCCAATTCTATTATAACGTTATATTATTAGAAAATGATTTAAACCTCATGTGATATATACATATCATGAAAACGCCTTTTGGTATACTATTACAAATGAAAATTGAATGCTATTTGGTTATATTCTATCCGATTTATTTTGTCGATGAACATGAAAAACATAGGAATATCGCTTCACGGTTACTACTACTTGTATCTCGTTCCATTCGTAGTAGGCAAATATTTACGAGACCGTTCCGCGATTTTCTGTTTGCTAATCTTTTAACGCTGGAGATTACGCCATGAAAAACGTTCTCGAAGCTGTGTTCAAAGATTCTAACCGTTCAACTGTGAAATACTGATTGATTTTTCTACGAAAAGTCACGTGCACAAGTTGTCAAGATTCATTTAGGATCCCGACACCGATTAAAAGTTGCAAACCACGTAACACGTACCTCTAAGAATCCTAAAAGAAAAATCGTTTCTATATTCGTTATGTACAATACACTTTTATAACATGTAATTATTATAAAGTAGTTGTTTCATTATATCGTTTACCATTATTTCATTTTGAATTAAATAACGAGCTACATATTTAACGATTAGGACTCTGAATACCGACCGAGACAACGAAAACAACGTACGAACAAAGAGTTTTATATGAACTTAATTGAATCGTATAATTAGAAGTTGTAAAAAAAGAATGTTCAAATTAATAAAACGTTGTTCGACAAAACCTGAACATTGTTAAACACAGTTGTAATCATACAAAATATGTATTTATTATAAAAAAAAATTAATGACTTAAATAATTCTCAAAGATTAAGTTGAGAAGCACTGCACTTGGAGTGGCTATTATTGATGCAGAGAAGGTTATCTCGTATAAAGGGGTGATTCGGGGTGTATTTCCGATTGCAACGATCTGGACGTAGACACATCCCTTGGTGATACTGTTGCAATAACGAAAGCAGTACAACTCCCCTGATAAAACTAACAACGAATTGGGAGAGGTTCAAGGCATGGCTAGGGACCATTGTTCTAACCCGTAGCACAGTGTACATACACGAATATAAAAGTCTGTCTTCCATATTACAGATTTATTATTGAAGGGGTTAAGTCTGGGTTAGGTTAGGAAGCATTTATGTTAAACACTATATCAAATTACTTCAACAATGCAGCAAACCTTTTCGTGCTATTTTATCTTAATAGAAAATATAATCTACTAAAGATTTTACTAAAAGCTGTTACATTATCGACCTGCACGACTACCCACGTTAAAATTAATCTCTCATTGTTTTTTTAACTCAAGATCATAATATAACGGTGTTTGTAGAAATTGGCGGTATTTACGATATAATTTTCGTAAGCATTATCCCCCTTATTATCATTTTTATTTGCTTTCCATTATTGCACGTAGGTTCGTCTATTTAGATATAAAGATCCATTTCCGGCTCATCGTGGTGGTGAAGCCTTCAAACAATAAAAGGGGTCTCAAAAGGGTACGTTCCTCAAATAAACCAGTTAGCTCTGTCTGGGATATAGTTCTACGAACGACATAAAGCAAACTGCAGAACAATTATGGACCCAAACAAACAGAATATGATAAGTTCAACACAGATGTCAGCACCTAATTTTAGTTCATCGATCTTTCATTGAATGTACAAAATAAATCGTTTTAACTGAGAGAAATTTTGTATTAATTTATAAATTTGAAGAGATTAAAACAGTCTTATCATGAACTTTGTTGTCGTTAGAATAAGTGTGTACGTATAAGGGCTCGCATGCGATGTAGATTCGACACATGAAGATCGAACACGAGCACTGGTAGCCCAAATACGGAACGGCCATGCACACAACTGCGTCTAAATGTGCTCATGTAAAGTAGTATGTATTTACAAACGTGTGTACTCTGCGACCGATGTCGTAACAACACCTTAATGGTCTGCGCCCACGCGGTGTATGCGCGTGCATATTGATGTATAGGGTGATTCGTTTAAGACAGTTTTTTGTATCTTAATAATTTTTGATTAATTTTTTTTTCAATGCTTTATTTGTTTTTGTTTTTATTTCCATGCGAATTATGTGAATAAATTTGTCTTATCCTAGATACTAAGTAGACATACACATAAATTTCGTTTAAGTTGAAAAAGAAATTGTTTAGGAATACTAAGAAACAGTTTCGTACTTATTATTCGTTTGATAGAAAAGGGGATACGTTTCAGTTGTGTACTCCTTTATTAAAGTTTTGTAACATTGGTGAGCAATGTACAGTCAACACATTGCTTTTTTTTCTTCTTTTTTTTTATGTAGGAATTACATTCACTCGAAGTTGAATCACTGTGGCAATTCCTTCCACTGCCGTGATACCCTGTCGTATGTGTTATTCTTTCAAGGCAGTGCATCGTTTCCCCGATTCTTGTCTTTCTCGGACGTTTCGCAGAACAGCGAACGTCCTCCTGTAGAACGGAATTAGTAACAGTCACGTTACGAAGAAGATAAGAGAGAGAAAGATGGATAAAACCCGGTTCGAGGAATTCATTTATCGATCGCAAAAGTGAAGTCTAGATTTCCGTAGCTTTCTGAGTATCAGCATTGGCCCTACGACCCCAACTGTCGCGAACGATTAATTGATTTTTTCGGAGAAGGGATCGTAATATATTTCACCCTCGCCGTCGGTTTATTGGTATTTATGAAACACCCCGTATATTTGTCGTACCACGGTGTATACGTACCTTGCCTTCCTTCACGGTCTGTTCGTCACATGTCGAGTACTTTTACCACGTTTTTCAACATTCTCCCTCCTCCCCTTTCTGACTTCCACGAGTATGCAAACTCACCCTGCGAATTAATCCGTGTTGCGAAAAAATTCAGATTTATTATTGAAAGAAAATATTTCTACCTACGAAGATTGTCGAATCCATATGCTCGAATATTACGTTCGAGGCAGTTACGGAAAGAAGAAAAAAACGTTGACTGCTTTATCGGTAACGCAGTTTTATTTTTCGTCGGACATTTTGTAAAAAAGGTATGGTTACTGATAAAAGGAGAAAGTATCATTACTTTCTAAACATTTTTACTTCGATATAAATCGTTTTACGAGCCACGAAAAACGCTTCGTATCGTGAAATGATTCTCGAATCGATCATGTGAACCTTATCTACAGGAAATTATCCGATACATTTAGCTTGTCCGAGATAGCAGCTTCAAGACTTGTAAGTTTGTACATGATTTGTACATTCCTCTTCCTTCCCTTTCTTCCGCTCCCGTTATGCTACTAAACAAGACGTATAAACTGATGTCTGACAAATATACAGGAAATAATTTATAATACAACTCAAAAGGAATTGTTTCTTTGTGTAAAAATAAGTAAAAAATGTAAAACAAGTATGGGATTTAATTCTCGAAATAATTAGATTTGAATATTTGCCAGGTGCGTGTTAAGGTGTCGTTTAATCGGTTCTCAGATACGATGGAACGATTACAAACTGTCATTTCAAAAAAAAATTAGAAATAGAAGTATTTCTGTAAATCAAACTATATTATCTAGTATACAGCGATACGATAAACATTTTTTCGAAATGTCATATGTACTTGAACGTCCTCGACGATTCTTTAAGGTTAGGTTCACACGAGCGTCGTGCGTTTCTATGTTCTTCCTTGTCTTACAATTGAAAACAACCAAGACCGGCGTTCCTACGTCTGTCTTGGTTGTTTTCAATTGTAAGACAAGGGAAAACTTAAAAACGCACGTCGTTTCCACGCTGGTGTGCCCCTAACCTTAAACGTGTACTTTGAAAAAGAAATTTTTACTACAATAATATATTTTATATTTTCAACGCATGGAACAATAAATCATTCTCTTTTCGATTATAGTTCGAATTACTGAACGCCCTGTATAGATGTAATAAGGTGCAGTGGTTGTTCCCGCGACAGATTTACCTCGCGCGTACATTGCAATGGTTCTCCTCTTCATCTATTTCGGTATGCCGTGCGGTAGGTTGTCGCCCGCACTCATAAATCAAATAGTCAGACGGCGAACGGTTTATTTTCCTTGAGAATGCAGCGTTGTGGCGCTATCAGGCGCCAAATTTCGCACGTTCCTTTTCCCTTTCGTTTTTTCTTTTTTATTTATTGACGTCTAATTTCGCGCCACTAGGAACAGTCGGGAAAACGAGACGGAACTAATCCGTAACGATTTTCGATCGATGGAGGGGTGAAATGGCTAAAATTTTAGAATCAAAAGAACGAATGGATCTATACGTTTTCGTTCGAGTGCGTGAATTTAGTTGCATTTCAATGGCGCTAAAAGTTCAAACGTTAGGTCTAGAAACGGAAAGCTTTGTTTGAAGAACGAAAGAAATAATGTTCTACGACGAGAATTACTTCTCCTATGTCGATCGTTGAAGACGTGTTCGCGCTCCTTCGCGAAGGTTGTACGGAAAGGTGACAGACCACCGTGAGCGTGAAACTGTAACCCAATAACCGTAGACAGTGTTTCTCAATTTTCTGGAAGCGCCAATTCAATTAGATTCGCTGATGATTAACATCAATTATCGATTGCACGTCTTTTTTGATTGCCTGCTGATAAAAAGATGCGCAGTATTATTTTTAATTTACGTTATCCAACGCTCTTATCTTATAAAATTTATATTAGTTATTACTACACTTTTAATATTTTTATCAGTAAGTGTTCTTCATATATTTCAATATGTAGACGTACATTTCTAATCGTTTTTTATTTATTGAGTTTTTTTAGTACTTTTGTAACGGGTTTTATAGAAAGTCAGATTCTAAAGACGAGGTATTTCTACTGGAAAATTGTTAGATTGGAAAAATATTCATAATTGTCTGCATATAATGGGTATCTCTTTCATAAAGAGTCTTCAGAATTTCATGAGTAAGAATTTAACGAGCTGGATGGAATTTCTTCAGTCGAGTCGATCTTACGTGTCTACGTACGAATATAAAAGTTCTATTATGAAAATAACAAAATTCATTTTCAAATAATTGATCAACGTGGTAAATGACTTGATGGTTTGAGTATGTTTCGAATCTAAGATAAATATTTTAAATTGAATTTAAAATAACCATTGACCTTTCTTTTCGTTATAATTAAGAATATCGTAGGTGATGTGTAATATCTTAGGAATGAAAATTCTATAATTTATGGCAGCGTACAAGAAAATGAAATTCTTTGTTTGCGACCGTTTGTTCGGCGAAGGAAATATTTCATGGCGTATCGATTGCGTGGAATTTAAACGAAAAAGCTTACGTTCCTTAGAAATCATTCAGATTAGGCCTTATAAAATTGTTCCGTTGAGATTCTCTTATTCCTTTGTTCTCGTGAAGGGCTATTCAGAAACGATGTTGAATCGTCTTGCATTGCGGTTGTGTACTTAAGTCGTATCGGGACAATCGCAAAGTCCCAAGAAAGAACGAAAAGAAAGGAGGGAAAAGAGAATTTAGGCATTCAGCTCGGGTGTCTCGTCAAAGGGCCAAAGGGTGCTTCTGTAGGGTTGCTGACCCTCTATCCCCTCTTCATTCCCTAACTACTACGCACCTCCATATCTTCTTTCCTGCCCTAAGTAAATTTCGACCAGTTTTCACGTTTACCGTCGTAATACTTAGACACCTACTCACATGTTGAACAACTTGCGAAATGAAATTTAAATTTGATAGTACTGTAACTTGTATGAAGTTTACCTTTATGATAGGTAACTGCTAAAATATTTTGGTTTTTAAACAATATATTAAAAATCATACATTTAAATAAAAAATATAAATATGAATTTGTGTTCTTTGATTGTGAAAAACAATTTATTTACCTTAATTGTGAAAGAATTCAAGTTAATTTTATTCTTGACAGCTAGTGCAGGTGGTTTGTATTTTACCATCGAGCCACAGGATGTTATGGTCGAGCAAGGTGGTCCAGCTAGATTGGATTGCGAAGCAAAAAGTATTTTTGGAGAACCAAATATAGAGTGGCGAACTGATGATGGTCAACCAATTAATTTTATTGGGGACAGTTATCGGTGAGGGTATTATGTTTCAAAATGATGCCTTACCATTGGAAAACCCTTCTTCCATATTCTTCTTTTTCTGTAGATCTCAGCTAGCAAATGGGTCCTTGTATGTAAATAGCGTTTATGGCAGTAGTCCAGAATTGACTGGTAGCTATCAGTGTTTAGCTTCCATAGATAAAGTTGGAGCAATTGTCTCTCGACCAGCTACAATTAAACTTGCAAGTTAGTACTTGAGAGTAATGCTTAGTTTTTTTAGAATTATAATGCGTTGTATTATTGTATATGAAGAAAGTGATTAAAGTTTAAAATTATACAAGTAATTCCATTTTAAAGGTTTGCCAGGATTTGAAAAGGAACCTCAAGACACAATGGTTTATCCAGAGCAAATTGCATATTTAAGTTGTACTCTCCCTTCATCCTCTAGTTCAGTCAGTATACAATGGTTAAAAGATGAACATCCACTAGTACTTGATGATAGTAGAATGACAGTTTTACCATCAGGTATATATTGTCTGTCCTGTGTAACAACGAAAATGTATATTCAATTGAAAGAGACCACTGATTTCATTATATTTTAAACAGGTGCATTGGAAATTGATGAAGTTAACGCACAAGATATTGGATCATACAGATGCAATGCTAGTAGTTACGGACAATATAGACTCAGTAACAAAGCACAATTAGGATTATTGACAAGCGATATCGGTTAGCATAATTCTTAAAACATATTAATATGTAATGTGCATAATCTCTGTAAAGAGGGAATTTTAATCCCTTAATTTTGTATCATAGATCAAGAAAGCACACCACCCGTCTTTATTGCTAAACCATTGCAACAAGTAGTTGTTGAAGGATCCACAGTAACTCTTGAGTGCGCTGCCAATGGTTATCCAAAGCCAAGTATACTTTGGCTAAAAGATGGTGTTGCTATCGATTTAGCATCTCTTGATTCTAGGTGTGCGATTAGAATTTATTTACATAGTAAAGAAATTACTATGATCAAGATATAGAAAGTGAACAAAAAATATAAATCTTTGAAATGTTATATTTTATTGTCTAGGTATCGTAAAGTTGCAGCATCCAGTCTTGTGATTAGTAATGTACAAGAAATAGATAACGGTTCTTATCAGTGTCGTGCAGAAAACGAAGTTGAAACATTGGATGCAGCTGCTGATTTAATTGTACAAGGTATTTGTTTTTGACATTGAACACAGCAATTATTTTATTCTTTTATCTTCTCTTGTTTTCAAATGCTAACATATTTTTCGTTTCATCTTTAGTCCCACCAAGATTTATAAAAATGCCAGAAGATAAGGTAGCTAGCGAGCATCAAGATTTAGAATTTGAATGTGAAATTTATGGAAAGCCAGAACCAAAAATTATATGGCTAAAAAATGGTGAACGTATTACTTTTAGCGAATACTGGCAAATCATTAATGGGTAAGTCTTTAATACATAATTCGTTATAATGGATTAAAATTAAATAATATCATGAGGTAAATTCTTTTTCTGTCTTAACCTCTAGCAGCTACCTTAGAATTAATGGCCTATTAGCTATAGATACTGGAATTTTCCAATGTATTGGAACAAATTCTGCTGGGAGTGTACAAGCTGCAGCACGTTTAACAATCAATCAACCTAGTGAGTATTCATTTGGTAAAGTCGTGTATATGAAACTTTCCATATTGTAGACTTATTTTGTAGACTTAAATTTTATATAATTATATTCTTTTTTGTACATATTTATCAGTTTATTAATTTACAATTATTTCGTTTACTTTAATGTTAAATATATATTATTTTTCATGTTTGCTTTTGTTAGAAATTATAATTTTATCTTTGTTTTTTTCCATTTGCGTTTCCTCCTTGTTAACCGTGTTGCATGCTAACAAATGTATCCAGGAAAAGCAAATTCCCATAGGACAACTACTCCAAAGATAACTCCTAAAAAAAAGTTATTATTGCATCGTCAATTGTATAATAAAACATGGCAACATCCGAGCACCCTTTTAGGCCATACGCTATCCGCGTTCACGCCTAATCCACCGCTTTCCATTAGTCCTTCTGATGATCCAGCAGATCTTCCTGGATCTGTTAGATTTCCTAATTCCCTTTACGACCCGAAATCCCATTTTATAGACGACACGGACAATCTGGAATCGATAGAAGGAAGCGTCCCATCAGCTCCAAGGAGTTTAAGTCTCGTCATTGTCACCGCCAGATTCGTAACTCTACGATGGCAAGAACCAGAAAATACAAATGGAGATATTCTAAATTACTATATTTATTACAAACAAGAAGGTGCTCAAAGGTGATGACACGTCCCTTGTTTAATATGCTCCTAATTCATTTCTGATTGTATTTCATCTAATATAATAATAATAAAATCTTATAGAGAAAGAGTACATACCCAACAAAAATTAGAAGCAATGATACCAGGCTTACAACCAAGTATGACGTATCAGTTTCGAGTGGTCGCTTTAAATGCGAGAGGTCCTGGAATGTCGAGCGAAGTATTACAAGTCACTACACTCACAGAGGTCTGTTCCGAATTTAACAAATGACTAGTAAATGGTCGATTGAGTTTCTTTATAATCGAGATACTATCAATCTGTTATAACAGGCCAATGTTCCTGGACCTCCATTGAATTTAGAAGGTCATGCTACAAGCAGCACGAGCATTTCTTTATCTTGGGAAAAACCGCAAGTTGTTAATGGCAGAATTTCTAAATACTTAATCACATTTGTAGAGGTATGTAGTTTTAATATGCAGCTATTAGCAATTATGTTATGAAAAAAATAACGGAAAAAATAAAATAAAACAAATTTTTATTCAATGTGAAAAAAATAGCGTCTCCAGAAATGTATAATTAATATTTTATTTAAAGGGTGACAATGAGGAAATAATGCGTGAAACGATTAGTACCATGCACGAATTGATAGATCTCGTGCCTTATACGGAATACAGTATTAGAGTTCAAGCTGTAAACGAAAACGGTCCAGGCGCGTTTAGTAGAGATATCATAGCGCGAACTTATAGTACACAACCAACTGATCCACCACACAATGTTACGGTAGAACCAGCTAGTCCTACAGTGCGTATTGTACTTACAATTCTATAAAACTAAGATGAAAATCTAGAATATCGTCATACATTTTTTTTTTGTTTTTTTTTTTTTTTTTTTTTTATAGAGTATTATAATAAGATGGGAACCACCACTCGAAGGACAAAATGGGATTATTACTGGCTATAAAATCCGTTATCGTCGACATGATCGAGGTTCACAACCGGTCACTATAACGACTGAAGGAAACCAACGCTCAAGAGTGCTTACAGGGCTTGAGAAGCATGTTGCCTATCAAATTCGTATATGTGCCTTAAATGTGAATGGAACGGGACCTTGGACAGAATGGATACAGATAGAAACGTACGAAACCGAGTCAGATGAAAAAAGAGTGCCAAATACACCCAGCAATTTAAAAAGTGAGTCTATTTTCTAATTAATTTAAAGAAATATTCTAATGTAGATATTCGTTTTTAATGTGAGTTTTGAGAATTAAATTTTTAATAAACTAATAAGTCAACTTAACAGGCGTTTTGCATACATATTTATACACGTTTGAAGCAAAAATTGTATAAGTTATAAATGAACGAACAAAACATGTTAAATAGTTGTTCAGTCAAGTGTCGATTACAGCTGTTATGTTAAATAAACAAACAAACAAAATTTTATTTCATTCTCTATAAATGTCATTATCGGTTGGTCCTAAAGAAAATTTGCATTTCACAGCTTCGATAAATAATGATTGAGGTATTCAAAAGTTGGAGGATCAAACGATAGCTTGAAATGCATTATAGTATACAGGGTGGTCGGCCACACCTGGGAAAAATTTTAATGGGGGATGCTAAAGGTCAAAATAAAAGGAAAATCAAGAATACCAATTTGTTGATGGAGGCTTCGTTAAAAAGTTATTAACAATTAAATTATTTTCGGTTGCGGAGGTCAATTATAATCATTTTTGGTGTATAGATATACCTCCGAAATCCTATCCACTTTCTAGAAAAAAATTCGAGAAGGTGTGAAATTTTTCGACGAAAAAAGAAATTTCAAATCGTTTTGGAAAAATTATTTTCGGTTACGGGATTCAATTACAATCATTTTTGTTGAATAGACATACCCCCGAAATCTTGCGCATTTTCGAGAAAAAAATTCAACACGGGCGGAACTTTAAACGTTAATAACTTTTTAATGGAGCCTCCATCAACAAATTGGTATTCTTGATTTTCATCTTATTTTGGCCTCTAAAATCTCACATTAAAATTTTGTCCCAGGGGTGGCCGAACACCCTGTATGTGTGCAAAATTTCAAGCTGATCCGCCTGGTAGTTTCTAAGAGAACGTATGTGCCTGATTAAAAAAATATCGTTTGAAAAAAAACGCATTTAAAGTTTCTGATGTCGTTACAAAGTGGATAATTCTCAGTTTAAAAAAGTCATGATGAGCAGCCATTATTTGTCTGTTTTCCTCGCCTCTTTAGATACATTAGACGCCCGCTTGTTTGAATGACTTTTACTTCCATCGCATTCATGATTTGTAGGATTTTGTAAAACCCTTTATTAAAAATGCAAATGGCTAAAAATGTTGCAATTTCCACAGTATTTTTACCACAATGTAAGTACTTCAGAGCAAACGTCAAGATTAATTAAACTTTCATTATTTTTTTATGTGACACGTTCTACGTATGGATCTGATAAATTGTCTGCTTCAAGCCGTCGTAAATCGGTCTGATGATATCTAACATTGTATACTTCAGTGAACAAGCTCGAGAGGTCTTGAAGACAACGTTTATGGTGTGATTTCGCGTTGGTTGACCTTCCATGATCAAATGGCCCGTATAGCTTTTTTCATGTCGCTTATTAATTTTGGACCTGTTTGTATTGCCAAACTGTAGTACGCACTTAGTTCATTGATAATCTTATCTGTCAGTTTTTCTGTTCCTTTTCCATCGATACTATTGTTGGTTCTTTTAGCATTGCGTAGGCTCGTACCCATACATTTTTGTACATGTCCAATACATTCTTTTTCTGAAGTACACTACCTGATAGGCAATCCGTTTGTCGCATAGTATAATTGCATAGCATATGCATTGACTCCTTTAAATTTTTATAGTTTTAAGAATTTTACGAATTTTACTTTAATAGTTTACAAATATATTTTCAGGATCTCAAACTGTAAAAAAAATGTACGGCTACATTAGAACACATACTCCCTTAAGGGCTGATATTAAAGAATCATTGTTAATACTCCAATAATATTAAATACATTTTGCACACGTATGTTACAGCAAAAGTGATGTCAGATTATATACAAGTATTTTGGAATCCACCGAAGGATCAGAGTATCAAAGTAAAGGGATATAAGCTGGGTTGGGGAAAGGGTATCCCTGATGTTGAAATACAACTTCTTGATGGAAAAGAACGCTCTTTTACTATAGATCAATTAGGTGAACATTTGAATTATATAGTTTATTATTTCATACAATATGTATGGAATTAATCGAGTAACGAATTTTATCTTTCTTTCTTTTTTTGTGTATTAATTTCAGAACCAATGACGGAGTACGTTATATCCTTGAGAGCAACGAATGATGCTGGTGACGGTCAACCTGCATATGCAAATGTTAGAACAACCGAACGTTCTATGTCTGAATCTTCTGTGCCTTTGATACCGCCGGTTGGTCTTAAAGCTGCTGTTCTTTCGGATACTACAGTAGTACTATATTGGACTGATACGACATTACCGAAAACTCAAGTAAGTTGATAGAATATATGGCAGTTTTATGGCAAAGGATTGTAAATCAATGAATAATAATTTTGCAGTTCGTAACGGATAATCGATACTATGTTGTGCGTTACACGCATCACCATAGCAGTAGCCCTCGTTATAAATATTATAATGCCACTGATCTTAATTGTATGGTGCGTGATTTAAAACCGAACACGCTGTATGAATTTGCAGTGAAACTTGTTAAGGTATTTATTATTATTATAGTTTTCTATGTATAATAGTATACTTTGATTTGTAAATTAATAGATGAAATATAGATTAATACATTCACGACGAACTAAACTACCGATGGTACATTATACATGGTACAAATTCAAGCCCGTCGCGAACATGTTAATCTATATTTTAATAATATTTTCAGGGGAAGCGAGAATCACCATGGAGTATGGTTGTTTCGAATCAAACTCAGGAAGCTGTACCGAGCTCTGCGCCAAGGGATTTATTAATACAAAGTATCGAAGACCGTCCAGTATCCGTTTTATTACGCTGGCAGCCCCCTAAACAACCTAATGGACCAATTACAGGTGTTTATAAACTTTTATAATAGATTGCGCATATGAGAAAGCGGAAAGTTTATAGTTAAAATTAAATAAACTTGTTTCAGGATATATTATTTTTTATTCTACCGATAATACAAAGCGGGATCGTGACTGGTTAATTGAAGCTGTTATTGGCGACAAAACTGAATTCATTGTCAAAGGCCTTAAATCAAGTACAACTTATTACTTCAAGATTCAAGCACGGAATTCAAAAGGATATGGACCCCTTTCTACAACTGTTCCATTCAAAACACCTCAAAGTAAATATCTTATTTTCATGCGTAAAATTATTTGCACGTATTCGATAACCTGTTGGTTTTAACAAAGTTTGTTCGGTATTGCGTAAAGAGTTATTATCTATAGTGACTACTATTTATGTTCATCCTTCCATATCGTATGTACAATATCGGTGTGTTAATTATTGTGTTCAATTTTTTATTTCTATGCTAGGCAATGGCATGGATGTCTATGATGAATTGCATGGTCGAGGTAAGATATTCTCTTTTAGATTATTGTTTATTATGTTAGTGTTGCACGTATTTTATAGTAGTGAATGTTAAAGTAATGTGCATATTTAAAATATATGTAATTCGAATATGCATAATATATTACAATTAGTTTATTATGATATGGGTTTTGATTATTTTCAAAGAACATAAAAGCATTTACTAAACAATTAATTTATAGATGGACGAGGACTCTCGAATATACTCATCTATATTATCGTGGGGTGTTCTATTGTTCTCATCACCGGCGTAGCAGTTGTAGTGGTAGTGATGTGCTGTAAGCGAAATCCGGATACACCTGATAGAAAAAAAAGGTATATGCTATATTATAATGTTGACGTTGGAAAATTTGTATCATATCATACCTAAATAATGTTCTTTTGTCACGAAAGAATCAAATTTTCAATGAATCAAGTATACTATACACACAAAAATGTTTTATTTTTATAAAGTTCGAAAAGTACTCCAAATGATTTTACACAGAATATTTGTTTTGCGATTACATTGCTCCAATTGAAATTGTTTAGTTATATAAAAGATGTGAATCAAAAGACAAACATCAAGCCGCCAGATTTGTGGATTCATCATGATCAGATGGAGCTTAAAGCTCTTGAAAAATCTTCAATTAATGGGGAAGCTTCTACCAGTGGTATAGCCAGCAACACACTTCCTAGACCAAGTAATCAGGAGTATAATCAAGAGAATGTGCATGGAAATTCTAGTTCGTTGGACAAGCGTACTTACGTGCCAAGTTACATGGGTAAGTTTTGTGGAATAATACTACACATTAAAATAGTTTGATATATCAAACACAGCTGCACATCATTTTGTTCGTCTAATTAAATTTTTCACGACATATTCATTCACGATTGCTTCTATCATAATTAAATACACATTTTGAATGATTTCTTATTTATTATCGATATCTTAATTAACGTTTATCATCTTGAAAGAAAGATTTTATTTTGTTTTCTGTTTTCCTGATTTTCGTGCTCGGTTTTTGTTTATTCACTCAACATTAGGTAATACTGACGAGAAGTGCTCAACCCTGAGCAGACAGCATAGTCGGGGAAGCCACAAACCTAAACTCATTACACTTCCTGTTGACAGTGCGTCTTTACATCAACGTAAGTAATAGTACACATGTCAATTAAGTGACATGGGAAGACTAATCTCTTGTATTTGTAGCGATGTTAATTGTACTATGATGAGTTAATGAAAGAATACTTCATTTCATAATCATACTAAATGAATTTTTTAAATAAAAATGTTTAAGCTGTGAGACAAAGTTCTTGACCTGTTACAGCTATAGCCACTGCTACACCGATCGTGAATACAAGTATGTCACAGCCAACGATTCACACTTCCTGTAGTGATACGCCATCCGTAAGACAAAATTATCCACGAACGGTAGCCCAGTATAGCCTAAGTCGAGCGCATATCACGTTAGAACCGACACCTGAATCGAGTCCAGATTCTTGTAATATTTCAAGCTCATACGAGCCGTTGCAAAATCAAGTAAGATTTCTATAAAAACACTAATATTTTCCTTAAATAAAAAATCGAATTTTATACGAACAATTATAATTGTTAAGGAATGATAGTCATTTTTCCCTTATTGATATGTGAGAGCAAAAATAACAAATCTAAATATGGGAAATAAAAATATAAAATCTTTCAAATTTAGACGTCTTAACAATACATTATAACATATTAAGGAAATACTACATATATGTATATTTAACTTTTTAATTGTCTCAGTAGAAATGTTTACTGCCTATCTTTGTACTATATACTTCAATTTTCGAATTATGAGTAAGCTTATTAGTTTCCAGGATATACATATAATCCTGGAAATAGATTTCTATCGTTTTTTCTTTTTCTCTATTAATTATCAATTTTCTTTCAGGTTATGTTCTATATATAAAAATTATTCAATTTATAATGACTATATATATGTACATAATTAGTTAACATCTATGCATCATGTATACGTTTATCCCTCTTTTAGTTAAGAATATGTATATCTGAAGAGGGTTCCATAAAAGAGAACTGAAGTATCATCTAGTAAATGATACACTTCTATAAAGTTTTCGTAATTTTAGCTTTCGCATATCAATAAGGTAGGAGTGACTACCTTTCCCTGACAATTATAATTGCTTTATACAAATAATTTTCGTTTAAAGCAATTATCATACGGAGCAAGCGGGCAACCGTATACCGGTAGCACTCAATATGCCTCGGGCCATTATGGTAATAGTAATCAACCATCAAGCAGTAGTGGTGGGACTGACAGCACTAACAATAGTAAAAGGATGCAGGGTCATCCTTTGAAAAGTTTTAGTGTGCCTGCACCTCCGCCACAATCTGCGCCTTCGACACCAGCGCAACAAAAACATGGTGGTTAGTTTTTTTATGACTATCTGAATATTACTAATATCATACGTGTATTACAATGTCCCTTTTATTTTACGCAGTCTCTCAAGTTACTGTAAGGCCTACGATGTCTGGTAGCCCGTATAAGAAGCCACAAAGTTCTACACAATTAGTAAAGAATCGATTAGCCTCAGTTTCAAATCCGGTACACACTTCAGAAGAAGTTGAACGGTTAAAGGTAATGATTATTTTAATTAAACTCTGTACTTAAACGATGTAAAATCGGGAAGAATATCTTTTAGTCCCGTATTACATAAGCAGCTGATCAAACAAATGAAATATTACTGTGCAAATGGACACCAAGTTTTTTTTTTTACTAGTCGTTCGTGCGAGGTAAGGTAATTTATTAATATCAACGTTTTTTATAGCCTTCTTACAGTACGGAAGAACTAAATCAAGAAATGGCTAATTTAGAGGGTCTTATGAAAGATCTAAATGCCATAACAGCGTCTGAGTTTGAGTGCTAAAAGAGGTTCCTAAACCTTGTGCCATCTCAATTCAATAGACTGCAATGATACATTCTCAATGTTAGTACCTGAGAGATAGGTGTGACGATCATGTTACACGATGAAACTTTTTACAAAGATCATATTTCGGCACACGGAAATACAACACGATTGGCAGAGTGGATACTCGAAGGGCCGATGAACGGCGCGTTATCGAACTTTTTAAACAGTTTGCCTGAAAATTATATCATCCCAGTGTTATTGGACTAGAACGAGTGTTTCCTAGTCAATTTGCTCTTTCCTCCGGTACTAACGTTGTTTTCTACAGCGAAACGCAAAGTGTACTTGCCAATGTAATTTGACACTGCCACATTCTTATAGTGAACTTGCATTTTGCAAGATCATGAATGGTACGATTTGAAAGTGTTGATGCAAGAATTGGACGTTTTATTACGAGCGGTTGATGGTGTATTTTTATGTATAATTGCACACAGTGTATGCAAATCAATCGAGACGAAAGGACATTTATATGTTTGAATCTTCTTTGGAATTCTTTCCGACAAATTAAAATATGTTAAATTAATAATTCAATGGATTCGTAGCAAAGAGAAACGGTTTAAACGTTTCTCAGATCTTATATGTGTAAAAGTTATTGGTAACCATATGGGTTACCTTTTTATCTGCTTTGGTGAAAATGACGATCTTGCCTAAAAATAATTCGTACTATATCCAAAAGCTCACGTACTCTTTGCCATGATTCTATAATCTATATTCATAAGAGTACATTTTCTATATCGATACTATCGACTGCCATACATACGCTTAGGGTAGCGAGACCAAGTGAGTCTCTCTTCATTGAACATTTTATGGTTCAATGTGTAAGGCGGAAGGTAGAAATATTCTTCCTATTTTTTTATCCGTCAGAATTTTTTTTATAACAATTTTGGTAATAGGTTTTATACGGTACAGTACTTTCGGGCTAGTTAATTTAGTATTAATAAATTAAAGGGCAACAGATCACTAAAAGGTTTTATAAACAACAGCCGGTCATTTATACATTACGCTAAAAAACGTGTTGCCTATGGTTTTGTAAATTTTATTTAATAGGCTGAGATTTTCCACGCTGTCGAAATCTTAATATTTTTGGAACACTGTGTAACGGTCTTGAAACGTTTGTATTAAATTGCCCTGTACCTTGTCCAACGAAACGAGATAGCAGATGGATAGTTCCGTCTTTATTCGTCGACCGTTAATATTGACGTTTGATCTGTTTCATCGTTTTGGGTGTTTGCTTTTGTTTGCTGCCTCGTCTCGTTGAACAAAGTATATACTCAGTGGCTTCGGCAGCTTGCTAAGGAATTCCGTTTATTTACGGGAAAATATACACGTATACTCTTAAACCAACAATGTAGTATTACGATCTCATCGAGAAATATTATTTTAGGATTAAATGTGAACATCGAGTATGGGTATTATGATAAGTTGTACAGCATTACGAAAGAAAGCACGATTTGATCTTATAAAGAACACGATAGTAATTTTCGCGTCGATATATTTACCGTTTCGATAGTTCATTTATCTTAAGAATTACGTTTTAAACGACCAGTTAAAAGTACTATTCTTCCACAAAAAGGCACAGCGTGTTTACATCCCCCCTCCTGTCGCAGTTTGCTGATTCACAGGTATTGGTCGAAAACGGTGACAGCCAATCAGCGGACTGCAGCAAGAGTGGGGATGTAAACACGCTGTGCCTTCTTCTCGTGGAAGGACGATACGTACATACGTAGCAGTCTAATTAATAAAATAACTTAAATTCAAGAGTCGTCTTAACGAAATATTTTTTAACAGATATTTACAAATTGTTATTTATAAGGTATATATATATGTTGTTTCGTTTGAAGACACTCGAAAACATTTATCAATGATGACAGCTTGCAATTTACATCTACGTATTTTGTAAAGAGCAACGGATCGAATTTTTCTATTGCTCAATCGTCAGATCGATACACATATTTACAGTGAATATTAAGTAACAGTTTTTTACCATATCCGTCAAGATATAAATATACTTCCTTCCACTGCTAGGAATTTGCTAATTATAAATTTTGTACACGTTTTACTGCGATAACGGTCTCTTTAGTATTAATGAAATGGAGATTCCGAAAAGCAGGATACTGTAACAATTAATGCACAATATAACAAGAAATGCGATCGAGGGCAACGGCGCTTGTAGTATTTCGTACTATACCATCTTTTTAAGCACTTTCATATTTTCCTAACGTTGAATATACTGTACAAAAGTCCTGTGAGCAAAGGGCAATGAACCAACGAAAGTTCCCGTCGTGGCAAAAGTCTAATATGGATATAGTACAGGATAGTACAAAGCAATATGTGATACTCCTTCTGTAAGAATTGTCGACCCGATGTCCAGAGTATTGCATATTACTCGAATATTTGCTGCTACACGGGAAATACCACCCATTTCGAGCAACACGAAACGAACAAATTCATTTGTCGTTGGCTTGGCTCGGTTAGGGCAACGCGAGTAGTATTAAGACATTCATATATTCAACCACAGACAAGAATAACATTCATTCCCCGATTACGTTTTCTTTAAATACGTGAATTTACAAACAAAGCGGCTATATGCTTAACGACGATACAAAAATATTCTAAGTACTCTCGAATATTTTTTATTCGCTTCAAAATCCAAAGTATTTTATAAACTTTTATAATTGGCACTAACGGAAATGAGGGAGTACGCGTGAGCTATACCGGATAAAGAAAAGGACAGCTTGTATATTAAGTATAAATATATATATGTAATATATACATAAAATTTGTAACTATTGCGCTGTTCAAAGAGCGATTAGTTCTTTGTAATTAAAAGAAACGGACCTACGAGAGGGCCTGCGGAAATATTTTACCACAAAAGTATAGTAGAATAGTTTATATATATATATATATATATATATAGTATATATTTATCTATATCATTATTATTTATTGATTTTTATGTATGTTGGGTATACTGAGGATAAATGAATGTTGCGAGATGCTAGAGGCTGGTTGCTTTTTATCATTTTCATCGACATCGTTGTAGTCATCATTATCATCATCGTCGCCATTCATTGTTATCATCATCGTCGCCATTCATTGTTCTTCTTCATCAACGATTCGTGGATTTGTTAGGGTTAATATCAAAGTTCGACGATAATCAATACTAAAAAAGCTACAGGCCACTGACGTATGTAAATAGAACACCGCCACTTTATAAGATAATTAAGTATTTATATACATATATATAAATAAATATACATATATATATATGTTTATGTATATGTATATATATACACACAGCCATTATAAAATATAATTATTATATTTGTACGATACGTGTAAGGCAGCCATCTCCAATGAAACATTCGTAACAAGTGTGTGATAATATTTGTAAATCTTGATATTCAATAAACAATCTTATGTTCTTTACAAATTGACGATTCAGTTTTGTTTTTAGAGAAAAAGATGAGTCTGTGGTGATTAAAAGAGTTTTCTGCGTAGTACTTATCCTTCATACAGAATTTACTTAATCAGAAAATTATCTTTGAATGTTTCTTGAATATACGCACATTGATGAGTGAGGGTGCCTCGGTGGTTATGCACGCAAAAATGTCTTACGTTTCGGTGGGCAGTGTTTCTTTTTGTTAGCGCACGAAAGCTTGTATTAATCGATAATTTAAATAATTTGTTACTATACAACGTATATTTGCGGCTCATAAAAATCCGTGAAATTACATTTGTGTAAATAAAATATATCGCGGTTCATACGAAAAATAACCGAGACTCCCCTGTCAAAATTTGGCGTATTTAATGATTTTTAAAGCATTCACAATTTTGAAAATCGAAACTGAAGAGAAAACACCATTTTGTATTTTATGTTTGTTTTACCGAGAGTAATGAAATATGGTTCCGAAATTGGTTCTATTACTTACAGGATGATCTAACAGAATTTTATGTTTCAGAATTGCGCCAATTTGAAGCGTTGCCATGTATCGTGGAGACATCTGCAAATCGGGGGTGCTGCCATCTCGGCGATGACTTTTTTAATACGGACATGCGAGGACAGATAGCGTTACTGATTAGTCGTGCACGTTTAAAAAAGCAAAGGACAACAATAACGCGGTCCCGAGTGCGGTGAAAAATCGGTGAAATGGTGGAGTTGTGTCGCGGGTATATTTAGAACCAGGTGAGCACTTTATTCGTTAATTAAACGCACTGTTTGGTTCGTTGTCTGTGCGCCAATTGATGATGTGTACAGTGACTCGAAGATAGAACACTTCTTTTTTTCCGCGATCGTTCACGCACACCTTAATCGGTGAAAAACATTTTATGAAGACCACTAGGTGTCTCTCCGTGAAATTTCACTGTCGATACGTACGCATTTAAGAATGCTAATGTTACGATCGTTCGTTTCACCGCTCGACGAACTTTTCACGCTTCATTTCTGAAGCAGTACGTGTTCGACGGTCGTTTCCATGCACCTTGGTGGATCATAACCTCTTCACACGCCACATATAACATTGTGAATTGTTTCATGAGTGACACACATGATCACCGACAGGTACGCACAACTTGCACGCACGTCAACTTTATATCGAATCAGATTTTTATCCATGAAAACGTCATACAGTTTACCTTAAGCTCCAAATTTAATGCACAAACGAACGGACGGTAGCGTACAGAAATTACCGTATTGTCAGTCGTTTGCCTCTTAGTTTATTCAACGGAATATTTGGCATTGACTTACTGTTATTTCTTTGTTTCTTTCGACGACAACAGTACTCGGGTTCAAACCCATAAAAATTAAGTACGTACATCTTGTTTATTGACATTGCGCTTGAACTTTAAATCGTGTCTCGAGCAACAATAACGCTCGAGTTGCCATTCGATACAGTTTTCGAAATATACCAATCGAGGACCGATAAACAAGAGAAGATCGTGTCTAGCTAGCACAAACTCTACGATGTTTGTTCGTTTTCGCGGGAAATTAAGTAGCACGTGGTACAGTATACGGTGTCTCGTTTACAAAGAGAATACTGTATCCACTATTGGGGTGCTGTTTCGTTAATTAAACTAGGTTGAATTTTCCAAGATAATAATCGGTATTAAAACATCGCGTACTATTTAGGTGCGAGTATGTTGCAATGTTTAACGATGTTATTAAAATGGCGTGATTTGAGCAACCGCTACATCAAATCATTCAAAATTATTTTTCTGTTCCGGAGCTCGAGTTTCCCCTCCACGGGGGAGCCAAAATTCCACGGTGGCTTAATACACCCCCAGCCCCACCGCCCCCCAAATCCCCCACCATGATTCGGCCTCTATTGATTGCTCTACCGCACTACTGCCCTACTTTTATGACTTTACTCCACCCTCTCCCCAATTCTCCCTCCAACCCCCTCCTATCTTTACCTCTCTTCGTGTTCTATCCTTTGCAACCTTACCTCCACCGTGTACCGTGGAGTCATAGACACACATGGGAATCGTGGAACTTCACTTCTGTTTATCGAAAGCAGCTTTTCGGCTGCGCCACTATGCGGAAGCGTGCCGATTTTAGCTGTTCTCGGAATTTCTCAGTACGCTCTGTACTGCACTTTCGTGTTGTAGTTGGCGTTTAAGTTTCTTTGATAGCGCTTTTAACGTTCCATTTAAATTGCTTCAGTATCGATAATAACGCTATGTATGATCCTGCGACACACGGTGGGGTACTTGCATTAAGAAAGCGGGAAAAAATATATAACGATGAAAATCAGACATTTCCTTAGTATTTTCTCATCTTATATTATGCAGGGTGTTCGGCCACCCTTGGGAAAAATTTTAATGGGAGATTCTGGATGCCAAAATAAGACGAAAATCAAGAATATCAATTTCTTGATTGACGCTTTGTTAAAAAGTTAAAAAATTAAATTTAAAAATTTCAAATCGTTCTGGAAAAATTATTTTTTGTTGCAGGGGTCAATTATAATAATTTTTGGTCAACAGACATACTACAATCCTACTCAGTTTCGAGAAAAAAAATTACTTACGGAAAATATAATCTGAGGCCTGAGAAATGGTTCCCCGAAATTTCATGCGAATCTTTGAAACATCATAACTCCTGAACAGATTGGACGATTTCAATGTTTCAAAATGCAAACAACGCGTATTTTGGCGAACAATATGTGGAAATTCTAAAAATATACAAAATGAGAAAAACCCAATAAAACTGGTCCAATTTTCAAACGACCATAACTCCTATAATAGTGAATATACTTCAATGAAACTTTTTTCTGAAGTAGAGCTCATGGGTACCCACAAAAAAGTATTAGACAACTTTTCTATAGGGCGTTAAACAAAATTGCTAAAAATGAAATACAAATTTTTAAGAAAAATCGACATGGTGTCTAAATTTTCCGGCGGAAAAAAAATTTTTAAATCGTTCTAAAAAATTTTGGTGAGCTAGGGGGTCAATTACAATCATTTTTGGTGAATAGACATACCCTACAAATCCTGCGCATTTTCGAGAAAAAAAATTCAGTACGTGCGAAACTTTAAACGTTAATAACTTTTTAACGAGGCTTCCATCAACAAATCGGTATTTTTCATTTTCGTCTTATTTTGGCCTTTAGAATCTCCCATTAAAATTTTGTA